ACTGAGCGACTTCACTTTCACTTTTCACTTTCATGCACTGGAGAAGGAAATGGCAACCCAGTCCAGTGTTCTTGCCTGGAGAATCCCAGGGACAGGAGCCTGGTGGGCTGCCGTCTATGGGGTCACACAGAGTCGGACACGACTGACGTGACTTAGCAGCAGCAGAAGCAGTAGCAGATCACTGAAGATGAACTTGGAGCCTTTTTTCCTGAAGCTGTGCTGTCTGTCACAGGGGCTGTTAGACATATGGCAGACCCATGACTGTGCCCGTTAACTGAAATGAAATTTGCAGTGCAATTCCCTGCTGGCACTAGCCACATTGCAGGGGCTCAGTATTCACCTATGACTAGGGACTGTGGTATCAGACAGCCCAGAAAGGGAACTTTTCCATCCCCGCAGAAAGTCCTGTTTCACAGCATTGCTCTGAAGAGTGAGGCGAGAACAAGAGCTTTTTTGTGTGTTTGTTTATTCGTCTCGATTCTGGCTGGGCTGGCTTCCATCTCACACCTGAACGGAAATTCCTGACCCAGTCTATCTTTCCTTCCAAATCTCTGAACGAGGATGGCATTGGGAATGGAGTGGAAAAACCCTTCAGCCGGTTTGCCTGAGGGTCTGCCCTCATAGCATCATCATACGTTCCGGCCAAAGATGTTAAGCACACTTTCCAAGAGCACACACAGCAAATCAGCGTCTGACCAGGAACAGAGCTGTTTCCAATTCACTTTCATTCAGTTGTAATAGTCTGTTCATCTCTCTGTCCCACTGCCCTGAACTTAGCTCTTGAACATACAAAATGTAATCACATCTCTTTTAGGCTGATCTGATGGGGAGGCATAGAGTTTTTGAGTCACCTTACCTGTGCCTTGAACTATAATTGTCTAGCTAACAAGACGTATTAGTTCAGTATTGGTATTTAAAACTTAGTTGGCCAAAACAATGAAACAATAATAATGATAACAAGAATTCTATAACTGCTTTTTATACCTAGTGATTTTATTTATCCTGAGCTAACATGAGTTCTTGGACTGTATGCAATCCAAACTGGACATCTTTCATGGTTTCATGCAAAGATATTAAAAATAAGTCATTTAAATGGGAAATATGATTAATAATCAATTGGAAATTTTATTATTGTTCCATGGCTTTTAAAATTTTTATCAAAACATTTAAAATTCTCTTGTTCAGTTTCATACATACACATATGCATACACAGGCTTCCCTGGTGACGCAGTGGTAAATAATCTGCCTGCAATGCAGGAGACGTGAGTTTGATCCTCAGGTCAGGAAGATTTCCCTGGAGATGAGAATGGCAACTCGCTCCAGTATTCTTGCCTGGAGAATCCCATGGACAGAGCAACCTGGTGAGCTACAGTCTATGGGGTTGCAAAGAGTTGGACACAACTGAGCACATATACATACATATATACACATATTTATGGACATAAAAAACAAGTGAAACATTTACTTAGTACACTGTAATTTAAAACATTAGGAACATTGAGAATGAAAGTGTTTCATTTCTTTGTGAAAAATATGAGTGCTTTGACAGTGCTTGCCCACTCCTCTCCATGTAATGTAAGATAAGGGGCAAGACTCTTCTTGATGCCTTGACCAGTTGTCAGATCCCTTCCTCAGTTTGGATCAGCTTCCAACATTTTATCTTGTCTGCTTTCAGTGTCATGAAGCATCTCCTCAGTTTCCTTTAGTGTAAAGGTTCTTGCTGGCCCCACTCCCAGGATATCCTCGTGTTTAATAAGCTGCTTTCCTAACTTACATCAGTGAGGCCACCTTCACTCACCCCCTCAGGCTGCGTATCCACAGCCTCTCGGTGACATCAACACCCCACGGTCAGCTCTGTCCTCTCTAAATCCATGTAGCTTTGCTTCAGATTTCACTTCCAGCTTTGTGACTTCTCATTGCCTTATGGCAGGTTCATCTTTGTTGGCCACTATCCTCTTTTGATCATCCGTTTTTGTAAAATGTCATACAGTCCCATCCCTGGTGACAAGGAGGCAACACAGCCACAGGGTTAGCTGTCTGTGGGTAAGCTGAGTCACGGACACGCAGTGACCACTCACTAGCAGACTGTGAGAGAGGTGGGCCTGTTATTTCTAGACGTTTGTGGGCTGAAGAGCCGGTTATGAAGTGTGTACCTTATGCAGTTACTGTGGTAACTGAAATCTGAACTGAGAGGCTGGGGTCATTTAGAGTGACAACTGAAATCTATGCTTGCCGGAACTGTGCAGAGCAAACACCGCCTTACGTATTTATGGTGAGGATGCTAAAAACTTACCAACTCCCTGAGTGGTCAAGAGAAAGCAGAGAGGCGTGCTTTAGTAGTCACGTAGGGACGGGTGATGATTCCATGTAGCTGGGAGTAATTTAGCCCGGAGAAAGTGGGGCCTATAGTCTACCTACCTCTTTTATCCAACGAGACGTTCCTTAGGACGTTTCTTACATCACACGGGCGGTTTTGGTTACCGGCTCTTCCTTTGCTTTGCATGCAGCAGGCGCCCTGTAAAGATGAAAAGCACTGCTCCGTGTGGCTGCTCGGCAATGTCTTCACCTTCCTTACTGAGTTTTCACTGCGCCCCCCGCAGGCCCCGGTGAGATGCAGGGAGGGTCACAGAAGGTCATGTACCTCACGGCAGCCCGTGTTTAACTGAGGCCCAGCCTTCCTGGAAGTTCTTCGCAGATTTGAAATTTGTCCTGTTCCTTTCTGAATTCCTCCATTTTTTGTATAATCTCTGGGCATAATGAATTTCACAAGTAATTTCCTGTTTCTTGAGATGTGAAATTGGACATATATGACTGTTTTCTCCCAAGTGGAAGGTGAGATCTGGCTGGCATGCCGATTTTACAAAATAACTGATATCTTTTTCAGTCTTTCTACAACTGTGATATGGTACTGTCATCCTGTTTGATCTGTGCTCAGATCACATTTGTCTGTTCTTCTGAAAGAACTTCATTTTGCCTTGTTTCTGTTTTCTCAGAGGGACCATGTCTCATACATTCCATGAATGGAGACTTGTTAAGGACTTTGGAGGGTCCAGAAAACTGCCTGAAACCAAAACTCATTCAGGCGTCAAGAGAGGGCCATTGTGTCATATTCTATGAGAATGGCTTCTTCTGTACATTCAGTGTGAACGGAAAACTCCAGGCCGCCATGGAAACAGATGATAACATAAGGGTAAGTGTACCTTACAGACTTCTCAGTATCTGTGCTTTTACCTCCGAGTGTGTAGGTGAGTGAGGAGGTAGAAAGTCCACCAAAGAAGCCTCTGTGTTTAGCCACCAAGGGCCTCTTTTTCGCCTGAGAGAGAATCATCCGGTGGCACTTGGACGGGGGTGTCTGCTTCCCAGAGCCCAGCCTGTCCGGGCCGCGCCAGCTGTCTGCCCAGCCTGCAGCGCAGTCGTGAAGTGAAGCCGGGAGGAGCCTGCGGCAGAGGGAAACTCCTAGGTCCCGGGAAGCCATCCTGGGTGGCTGTCAGTGGCCCTGCTCATTTTTTTCCTGTTTTTGTTTTTTTAACCTAAGAATGTTAACTGCACACTGCTGTTTCCCGAGTATCAAAGCTGAATAGTGCCTTAAGAGCACCCTAAAACTGGCTCCCTCAACACTTGATCAGGCTGATGGTGGGAGTGGTAGGGATTACGATGATTTAGGGTTAGCATCTAATTGCAGAACTTGACTTCTGTGTGGATGACAAGACCCAAACACACCAAGTTAAGGAAGTTGTGCTTCAAATTATGATGTGAATCTGACAAACGATTTTTCACTTTTGGTGTACAAGAGATGGCCCTGGTGGACCTTCCCAGGCCTTCCCTCATTTTCAGGATAGGGCTCTGTGAGCATTAGAGGGTGAAGAGAGGATAAGGACTGCTTTTGGAGAGACTATGTTTTCAAGGCTATGTTTTCCTTTTCACACCTCCAGACTTCTTGGTGCAGGTTAAGTTTCGTTTTACCTTGCCCCTTGTATTTCCTGAGATGAGGTTGGAGGGGCATGTGACCTGCCTACAGTGAAGGGACCCAGGATGTGTTGGGGGTGGGCAGAGGCCTCAGCCCTCTGAGTGTGGTGTAAGTTATTTCTGGCCTCTGTTCTCATGGTCACTCCTGACCTGGGGCGACTTAGGTGACATGCATCCTCCCACTTGTCCTGCATCGAGTCTGATCCCTTTTCTCCTGTAAACATTGGGATCAGGAAGGACTAAAGAGTAAGAGAGAGTGCCAGTAGTTCATCGTGTCCGACTCTTTGTAGCCCCTTAGACTGTAGCGTGCCAGCCTCCTCTGTCCGTGGAATTCTCTAGGCAAGAATACTAGAGTGGATTTCCTTCTCCAGGGGATCCCTGACCCAGGGACTGAACCCTGGCCTCCCACATTGCAGGCAGATTATTTACCATCTAAGCCACCAGGGAACCCCATTAAGAAATAGAAACCCTAAATACAGATGGTACTGATCAGACCAAAGGCTCTTGCTGCTTCTATATCCTAGGATGATTTATTTTTCCTTTTTTCATGAATTGACTTTATAAAATAAAGTCTTTTTTTTTTTTTTTTCCAATTTTTGTCTGCACTAGGCAACTTGTGGGATCTTAGTTCCCCCAACCAGGGATCAAACCTGTGCCCTCAGCAATGAAAGGGTGGGGTCTTAACCACTGGAGCACCAGGGAATTCTCCAAGATGGCCTGTTAATTCAGTAAATGGCTTTCCTCTTTGCTCTCCTCTTCTCTCTGGGAATTTTCTCCAGTGCATTTTGCCTGCCCTGCCCACGCAGATGCTCACACTCTGCTTTTATTTTTTCCTCCCTTCATTTAAACCAAGTACACATCAGAGGGTTTTCCTTTCCTCTTTTCTTTACGATAATAATGTTGATAATCTGTCACTTTGAGTTGCGATTATATTGTCAGCTACACTAATAAATCTGTAAAGTAATTTGAAATCCCTCGCTGGCTAAAACAATTTCTGCGGCCTTTCAGTCAGTACCAAGGGTTCCGGGGCGTTCCTCCAGGCAGCAGTTGGAGGCTTTCTGCACACTGTTCGCACACACATGCTTTTCCTCTCTGCCCTGTGGCCGTTGTGTTTTTTCCTCTGTAATATTTCCCACTGGATTTTAGGCTTAAACAATCCATCGCCTTTTCCCCAGCACGCCTGTACTTTATCATACTAACTTGTAAGTGGCAACTGTGTGATTAAAGCGCGCTTGCCTAAAATGAGCGCCGCCCATGCCCAGCTCCAGAGACCCACACTTTCGTAGCTGACTGCCTTGGGAAGGATGGAAGGCACCGCAGGCTGGGAGCAAGAGACGTCACAGAGCAAAGCTCTCCACCTGCATCCTGCAGTCTGAGCCTGTCTAAGGGGGGGAGACTGTGGAAACAAATTAGTCATTAGCTCAGACCAGAAATGAAGTTTCTTTGAAATAGCAAGAACCCTGTAGGCAGGCAGCCTGCGGGAACCTCGGCCCTCATCAAGACCTCCCACCTGTTTTTATTTAGATGCCAGATTGTGCTGTGGCGTTTGGTTAACATAAGTGAGCACAGCAACCAGGCACTGTTTAGATGTCTTAATGAAGAGCTTAAATTTAAGTGGGCAGCCTGTACGGAGCAGCAGAGTTACATTCTCCTAAACAAAGGCTCACCACCATTTCACCATAGGAACTCATTTATTTCCTCTTCCGGAGGAAGCTGTGTCTTCAGATGTGATTGTTGCCAGCAGACGCTGTGGCCCGCTGGTGCTGCCTGGAAACCAGTGCAGCCGGTGTCATCCACGCTCCCAGGAGTCCAGAGACTGATGTTCAAGGGTTTCCAGGGCCATCCTAACATCTCGAGTCTCAGCCCAGCCTGGACCCTCAGGAGGCTCATGAGAATTAAGAACTCCGTTTGGGGCGGGGTGGGAGACGGGGTGCTGTTCAGGAAACACTCCCCGGGCTCTCACCGCCAGGGAAACTTGATAAGTCCCTCATGAGAAAGGCCGACAAAATATTTTTTAACTTTGGCAGGCGTCTGGTTTATTAGAATGTTTTAGATGTGGATAAAAGTATAGTCCTGAAAGTCCAGGTTTTATTTATTTCAACACAGAACTAGGATTAGGGAGTTTTTACTCTAGGACAAAGAATTAAAGATTAATGGTTTTAATTTATGTTTTAATATAGCACTTATCCAGTAAAAAGCCTCAAGTATAAAACTCCAGTGAACCACAGCCGCAAGGTCAATGGATTTTCATCAGCTGAATTTTATAAGTGTAGCAAATAATTATTTGTAGTAGTCTTCATTTCCAAGATAACTCCCTGGAGAGTGCTGTTTGTGAAATGAATGGGGAAAAGATATTGGGTTTTACTTACATTGAAAAATCTTATTATTTGTATTGGTTAAAATTTAGAGAATACTTCTTACATGTAACTATCTTCTGCCCATGGGTTCTGATTTCCTAGCTATATTTTTATGTTCTTGAAAGTAAGCTATATTTAAGAGACCTCTAAAAGTTTGCATTTACTGTAATGTGAATTGAATGGCTATGAAACAGTCCTTACTTTTCTGTAATTAAAATTGTTGTTGTTGTTGTAAAAGGGTACCTTGAAGACTTAAGGCAGCTATCCTAAAACTCTGAGTGCAGAACAGTGTAAATATATTTTTCAGAAGGTAGATATTTTCTTTCTGGCTTGCCATCTGGATTCCCACGTTCACTGTGTCCAGGTGGACATAAGATTACAGGTATTTGCAGTAACTTTTAGAACTCCCAATGCCCTCCAGCTAAAGAAAGGAAGTGTGTGTCTTAATGAGCCAGGAGAAGGAGGTTTGCAGAGCAGGGAGCCAGAGGAGAGGAAGGGGCAGTGGGATCTGCTCTTAGAATAGGGAGTGACCTTTTCTGTCAGGAGCAGGCACACTTTCTCCATTAAAAAAAGAAAAAAAAAAAAGTAGCCAGAAATGAATGGGTGTGGCTTTGTCCTAATAGCCCTTACTTATGGACACTGAAATTTAGAATTCATATCATTTTCATGTGTCATGAAATATTTGATTTTTTTCCAACCATGAAAAAAATGTAAAAAGTCACAGAAAAACAGACAGTGACCTGCTTTTGGTGGGTTTGACAGGATTACAGAGCAAATTACATGTCTGCCCTTCGAGTTTAGCACCGGCAGGAAGCAGTCAGTCCTGAAGCAAGAAGAAAATGCTTCAACTGGGTTTACCCTGGGAATTGTGCTTCCTTACCAAGTTGTCATCCCAACTACTATAAAAATCAGCAGGCCTAGCAAGGGTGCTTGAGCTGTAGGTGGTCTCCTGTGGGGCCGGGCCCCCAGGTCGGCAGTGTTTTTATCACAGGGGGTATGATGTCAGCTAGCACCATCTGCCCAGCTTTGGTAGCTTGGCGTGTCCACAGTGAATGCAGAGGTGCCAGGAAGCTCCTTACTTCAGAGTCCAAGTCTCTGTTCACAATACACACCATTTAATTAGTATTTGTAGAGTTGGAAGAGTTTGGCACCTCATCCTTAAAAAGCACAAATTAAAAAAAGAAAAAGCATTGCCTACTTTTGCCCGTATGATTTTTGAAAAACAGCAAAGGTCTTCTGTGACTCATGATTTCCTGAAAACTACTGAGGAACACACACACTCCTTCCCTTCTCCCTACGCCACAGTAGCTGGCTTCATGTCGAGTTAATCAGAGATGTGGGCTGGGGTGGGCAGGCTTTCCCGGAGTCCTGACCCTGCTGAATGCTGCTGTGTCTCACCAGGCCATCCAGCTGAGCCGCGACGGGCAGTACCTGCTCACCGGAGGAGATAACGGTGTGGTCATGGTCTGGCAGGTGTCAGACCTCAAGCAGCTGTTCGCCTATCCAGGCTGTGATGCCGGGATCCGGGCCATGGCTCTGTCTTACGACCAAAGGTAACACTGGAATGGGGGCTATAGTGGTGGCGGTAAAATCTGTCCAGGGATTTATGTAGATAGGCTGGGCTCTGCCGGTCACCAGTGCAATTGAAGAAGAATGAATATTAGAATTTCCAAGATACTTTTTTAAAAGCATGTTTTTCTTTGATGACATTGCCAATTGTGCACAGAGGCTATCTTCTCTAGGGTTAGACAGGATTTAAGTAACAAAGGCTCCAGTTATATTGCTGTAGTTTCTATACTCTTAAAGTATCTTTTTTCTTAAACAAAATTTCTTGTGACATGCCGTCTGTTCCATAATGATTCTATTGAGAAATCTGGCTTATTTCCTAAAACCTTCATTTTAGGAAGATAGTCTTTATCTGACATCTTATTTCTTCTTAATATAGTCTTTCATTTTAGTTTTTAACATCTTTATTGTGACAAAGTATACATAAAACTTACTACTTAAACTATTTTTGGTGCTGCATAATTCAGTGACATCAAGGATACTCACATTGTTGTACAACTATCACCACTATCGATTTCCAAAACTTTTTCATCATTTCATCTCACAGTGTCCTTTGATATGCAAAATCCTTTAATTTTGATGAAGTCTAATTTATTTTTTCTATTATTGCTTATGCTTCCAGTGTTATATCCAAGATCACTGCAAAATTCAATGTCTTGAAGTTTTTCCTCTTTATTTTCTCCTAAGAGTTTTGTAGTTTTAACTTATATCTTCTTCTTGATGCATCTTTAATTAATGTTTGTTTATATATGATGGTGGTACTTCACTCTTTGCATGTGAGTATGTTTTCCCAGCACTGTGTGTTGAAAAGACTGTCCTTATATGTGGGAGTTTTTTTCTGGTCTCTATTACGTTGGTCTGCATGTCTCTCTAAGCCAATACCACACTGTTTTGATTACTACACCTTTATAGTAAGGTTTTTATTATTTATTTTTATTGGAGGCTAATTACAATGTTGTAGTGGTTTTTGCCATACATTGATATGAATCAGCCACGGGTGCACATGTGTTCCCTATCCTGAACCCCCCTCCCACCTCCCTCCCCATCCCATCCCTCTGGGTCATCCCAGTGTATCAGCCCTGAGCACCCTGTCTCATGCATTGAACCTGGACTGGTGATCTGTTTCACATATGGTAATATACATGTTTCAATGCCATTCTCCCAAATCATCCCACCCTCACCTTCTCCCACAGAGTCCAAAAGACTGTTCTATGCATCTGTCTCTTTTGCTGTCTCGCATGTGGGGTTATCATTACCATCTTTCTGAATTCCATATACATGCGTTAGTATACTGTATTAGTGTTTTTCTTTCTTAGTTCACTCTGTATAATAGGCTCCAGTTTCATCCACCTCATTAGAACTGATTCAGTGCATTCTTTTTAATGCCTGAGTAATATTCCATTGTGTACATGTACCACAGCTTTCTTATCCGTTCATCTGCTGATGGGCATCTAGGTTGCTTCCATGTCCTGGCAATTGTAAACAGTGCTGCAATGAACACTGGGGCACACGTGTCTCTTTCAATTCTTATAGTAAGTTTTGAAATCAGAAAGTGTGAGATATCCAATTCTGTTGTGCTTTTTCGAGATTGTTTTGGCTGTTTGGACACCCTTGAGATGTAGGTGCTTTTTTCCCTTGCCTCATTGCGTTGGCTGGGGCTTTTCATACTCTATTGACTAGAAGTGGTGAAAGCAGGTATCTCTGTCCTATTCCCAGTAAGAGGGGAAAAACTTTCAGTGTTCACCACTGAGTATAGTGTTAGCTGGACATTTTTCATAAATGCCCTTTATTGTGTTAAGGTACTTTCCATCTGGTCTTAATTTTTTTTTTAATCACGAAAGGATGTTGGATTTTGTCAAATGCCTTTATTAACATGGGGTTTTTTGTTTTTAATTCTACTGATGGGATATCTTACAATTGATTTTTGTATATCAAACAAAAATTGAAGCAATCCTTATATTCCAAGAATAAATCCCACTTTCTTCATGGTATATAACCTTCATAAAATGCTACTGGATTTGGTTTGCTAGTATTTGTTAAAGATTTTTGAATAAGTAATCATAGGGATAGTAGTCTGTAATTTCATTTCTTATAGTGTAGTGTCTGTTTCACTTTGATATCAGGGTGTGTTGGCCTTATTGAATGACTTAGGAAGTGTTCTCTTTAGTTTTTTAAAAGTGTTTGGTGTTCTTTTTTAAATGTGTGGTAGACGTCTCTGGTGAAGTTCTCAGTAATGAGAGGGTTGTAATTACTGATTCAGTCTCATTATTAGCTATGTCTGTTCAGATTTTCTCTTCCTGATTAAATTGTGGAGTAATGTGTGTTTCTAAGAATTTTTCCATTTCATCTAGATTATCCTATTTGTTGGCATATAGATGTTCCTAGTATTCTGATCATCCTTCTATTTCTATATAATTGGTAGTTATGTGTCCACTTTATGATTTTTAGTAATTCCAGTCTTTTTTCTTAGTCTAAAATTTTGTCGATTTTGTTTACCTTTTCAGAGAACCAACTTGACTCTGATTTTTACTGTTTCATTCCTGCTCTTAGCTTTGGGTTTACTTGGCACCTTTTTCTTGTTCTTTAAGGTGCAGAATTAGGTTACTGATTGAGATACTTCTTTCTTTAAGTATCTGTGTTTACAGCTGTAAACCTTCCTTCTAGCACTGGTTTTGCTGCATCCTGTAAGTTCTGGCTTGTTCTGTTTTCATTTGTCTTGGTATTTTCTAATTTCCCTAGAGAATTTTCCTTCTGTTATTGTTGTCTAGTTTAATTCTGTTGTGATTAGGAAAAATACTTTATATGATTTCAATCTTTTTAAAGTGTGTTTAAAGTGTTTTGTGCTCTAACATATGGCTTATCTTGGAGAATGTCCAGTGTGCATAATGTGTTGGGTGAATGTTTATATATGTCTTAGGCCCAATTGGTTTTTAATATTGTTCAGATACTATTGAATATTATTTATTTCCTTCTTTTTGGTGGTTCTACCCATTATTGAAGTTTCCAACTATTATACATCTTGAGTGTGCTGTTCATACATGTTTGTAATTGCTATATACTTTTGATGGATTGACACCTTTTATCATTGCTTAAGTATCCTTGTGTCTTATAACTTTACTTAAAACTTATTTTGTCTGGTATTAGTATAGCCACTGTAGCTCCCTTTTCATTATTATTTGCATAGAATATCTTTTTCCATCCTTTCAACCTGTTTGTCTTTAGATCAGTGAGTCTCTGGTACACAGCATGCAGTTTGATTACGTCTTCATTCATTTTGCCAGTCTCTGCCTTCTGACTGGAGAACCTAGTCTCCGTGCATGTAAAGTAACCACTGATAGGGAAGACTCCTGCCGTTGTATTCTCTGCTTTCTGCCTGTCTTGGTGCTTTTTTGTCCCTCATATCCTCATTGCCGCCTTTTCTGTTTAGTTGGGTTTTTGTTGTGACACATTTTAGTCCCTAATTTTGATATGAGGCACTACTAAGGACACGAAGGATGACCTCGAAGGACTGTCCTAACCAAATCTGAGACAGAGCAGGTTAGCCAGAGACGGGCCTGCGATAATAAACGGGCGTCTGCCTCCTTAGAGGCCGCTCTGCACTGCCTGTCTGGCTGCACCAGCAGCTCCTGCAGAGAGCGAGCATGTCAGCGGGTGGCGACCCTCAGCCGGACGGACACAGCACGTGTTCCGCAGAGCACGGCCCAAACTCTGCTCAGCGCTGATTCTTAGTCTTCCATTTGTACATGGCAGATGCCTCTGTGATTGACCGTGTGCTTCTTCCTGCATCAACAGTTGCTTTGAGATTGTTATTTTCGTTCTGATACCTCATATACAAAATTCCCTGGCCCAGCCTCCCTGCCTCCGGAGTGACTAGTCTGTTCGGGTTTTTCTGACTCATCCTGCACGTACTGGCTGCGCTTTCCATACGAAGGCAAGCTGTGGACTGGACCCTTGCAGAGCGACAGAGGTGGGACTCTGAGCTTACCCAAGACTGCATTTTAGTTATCAAAAACCATGCCGCAAACCTCACAAACTGTAGGCGTGGCTGCCATCTGCTGTGTTTACTGTGTGGATGTGGGGCGGCAGGCCCTTCTTTAGTAACAGAGCCTTGGGAGACTGCTGGGTTTTAAACGCCTCCTCTCTGCCCCTCCCAGGTGCATCATTGCCGGCATGGCCTCAGGAAGCATAGTTCTCTTCTACAACGACTTTAACCGGTGGCATCACGAGTACCAAACGCGCTACTGACGCTGACGGACAGCGGGGCCCAGCCCGCCCCAGCCTCAGCGCAGGACGTGCCCTGAGCGGCTTTCTCTTAGGAACAGCTATCACGTCTGAATGTAACTTAAATGTGCTCCAAGAAGCAAAATATTTTTTAAAGTTAATTGCTATTTTTGTAGACTTTGCTTGACTTTTTTGGGGGTAATAGCAAAGCAGAAAACTGGCTGCTGGGTTCTGTAGTTTTCAAAAAAAATCTATATTTTTAGTCATAATGAGAAGTCTATTTTCACCAATTATAGAAATACACAGTGGAGTGAGTAAACCCACTTATTCTAGTTATATATGAAAAAACACTTCCCATTTATCTGTAATCTTGAGAATGTATGATTTTAACAATAAGGAAATGGGTTATAATCCTGGGATGCGGGAATTTTATGCTGTACTTTGGGTTCTGTATTCTTCCAAACAACAGTGCTTCTTCAGCACGGAAATTTCTGGGATTTAAATAGTCATGTTTAAATTATGGTAAATGTAATTTGAAACGTCTCAATGAATTATTTCTATCAATATTATCTTTCAAGCATGTTTTAGACCTAGAAAATTATGGTTTGGGGGAGGCTTACTTTATTGTGTGGTCATCTCAAAGGATCTATTCTAGCAAGTGTGAAATATTTGCAGTGTTTTCCTCATCTATCCTCATAGCAAACCAGAATGAAATGATGGGAGATGTTCTTGGGCTCAGCACCTTGTTTTTCTTTTAAAGTAAATGCAAGTAAGTACCAAAGCTCACCCCGAGGGTGCCCACATACTGAGGCTGAACTCTGTTGGGGCTCCCCCACCCCAGGTGTAAGAGCAGCGGCTACTGGGTGCTGTGTGAAGCAACCCTTGTTTTACCTTCTATTTGTTATTAAACAATCTTCCCCTTCCTTTTGATTAGCAATTTGTACTACGAAAATGTTATTTTGGTGTTGTAGACTTCTACTTTTCTAGTCGATTGCTGTGTGGAATTCTGTGAAAAATATCTGAGAAAAGATCTGTATTGCATAAATAAATTCTTTATAAGTTGAGAACTCTGAGTTGAAACTGACATTCCATCTCTATTTCTCTTGCAACTTACCTAAAAGGGGTGACCTCCTTTTCGTCTGGGCTTCCCAGATGGCGCTAGTGGTAAGGAACCTGCCTGCCAGTGCAGGTAGAGGCTACCTTTGATTTCTGGGTTGGGAACATGCCCTGGAGGAGGGCATGGCAGCTCACTCCAATATTCTTACCTGGAGACTCCCATGGACAGATGAGCCTAGTGGGCCAGAGTCCATGGGGTCACAGAGAGTTGGACACGACTGAAGCAGCATAGCACACACACACCTTTTTCCTACACATTCAGCTCTTTTCTAAAAGCAAAAATTAGGAATGGAACAACTGAGTCTGACAGAAAAATAAAATGTGTTTGTAATTGAATTGTTGGAAATATTTTTACTTTTTTTCTAGAACAAGTACTTTAGTCCATGTAATCATCAAAATAACAGTATGCTTATAGTTGAGAAAATTAAAAGATTTAGTGACACTAATACACTTAGCTCAGATTTAGATCTAGACAGCTCAGTATTAACACTAAGCCAGAATTTAAACCAGACCCTGTTTTTCCCAGCACAACATGCTTATACTAGGTACCTAGAACTGTGTCATCTTCTAGCAATTCCACTTCGAATTTTGAAACAATGATAATACAGTTATCCTCAAAGAAAAAGTTAAACTTTGGTTCGTTCAGTTTTTAAACAATAACCAATAGGAGAGAAATTCTCTTGAATGAAAACAGGAAAAATGGGCCTCTCTCTGGCCAGAGAGCTCCCTCTGAACTACATGAGAACACTAGACCTTTATCTAACAAAAAAACCAAGAATTTTATACTCTGTTCCGTCTCACATCCACAGTTACAGTTGTTTTACAAACTACTAACAAAACAATAGATGGTGAAATGTGGGGGGGGGGGGGAGTACATCTCCAAGTCAGAGACATACGTGAGTTACTGCTCGAGGGATAGCCTCACAGTATCACCTGTGATGTCACACTTTGGGAGCTTCATGCAAAGTGGCCGAAGGAATAGGAATCTCTAAGTCACATACCAGGCATCTGATACTTCAGTCCATGTTGCCAAGCCTGAAGCAGCTTCCTTTTGGTGCCTAAGACGACAATCAGTGCCTGCACTGCCTCTATTGTTTCGAAACTTAGGACTATGGAGAATCCACTGAAACACAATACTTAACAGCTGGCGTCAACACACCACCTCAGCTGCTCCTTGCACCCAGAGCTTCCGCTGAGCACAGACGCAGAGCTTATTGCTGTGGAGGGTCAACTAGACGTACTCATAAAACGAACTCAGCTGGCATCAACACAGGGCTTCTCAGCAACAGAATCTGTTTAGTACAGTATGTGTTAGGATTCGCTCCACATTCACTTATTTATCCAGTTTTCACTCCTTTAAAAAATTACATCTAGGTCCATCAACAGAAGAATGGATATAGGAGGTGTGGAAAGTATATACAGTGGAATATTAGTCATAAAAAGGAGCAAAACTGGGTCATTTGTAGAGATGTGGGTAGACTAGAGACTTATACAGAATGAAGTCAGTCAGAAAGAGAAAAACAGTATATATTAACATACACATGTGGAATCTGAAAAACTGGTAGATGATCTTATATGCAAAGTAGAAACAGTGACACAGATGTAGGGAACAAACATGGACACCGAGGGAGGAAGACGGGGGTGGGATGAATCAGGAGATCGGGACTGAGGTATATAAACTACGCACATATAAAGCACCTTATACCATCTATGAAATAGATCACTAAGAACCGACTGTACCGCACGGGACTCCGCGCTCTGTGGTGACCTAAGTGGGGAAGAAATCCAAAAAGGGGGTAAATGTAAACATATAGTTGATGCAGTCTGCTGTACATCAGAAACTAACACGATATTGTAAAGCAGCTATACTCCAATAATTTTTTTTAAATTACTTCAAATAAATGTAAACCTTTCATGAAAAAAGGTCAAAACTGAGGTGCCTTGGGCAGCCGAGCGTGCGGTACGTGAAGTTGCCCTGCCTCGGAAAAGGGCGGTTTTTCTCACCAACGCTGGGGACCCTGACTGAGGCATCGTCCATTAAGTCGTCGAGGCTCTGTAGCTTAGGAAGGAGCGCTCGCCTCCAGGAGGAGGCATGGGGCTTGGAGCAGAGCGAACAGCAGCCTGACAGGCACACCAATACGAAGGGGTAAACCATACCCTCGGGAGAAGCTTGTTCCCACACTGCACCCAGCATCCACAAATACACGTTCCAGTCAGCCAGTCCACGGAAAAGGAACATTCTACTCTGAAATATCCCCATCCTTCAGTTCTGCTTGCTGGCATGCGGGACGGCCCCCTCCCTGGGAGCCGCGGGAAGCAGGGCCGGAGGTTGGGCGTTTCCTCCCCAGGCTGCCCACTCCCATTCGGCGGGGAGAACGGCGCCTGCCAGGAGCCTGCCCGCACCCGAGGCCGTGTGTGCAGCCCCCGCGTCCCCTCCGCGTCAGAGGGGCCGTGAGACGACAAAGGCCACAGGGGTCGGGTTGGCAGATGGCCGGGGAATCCGGACGCAGCCAGACCGCACGTCCACTCCGCACCGTTTTCCACAAACATGATTGAAGTTAAAGGGCTTTTCTGGGGGCCCAGTGGTTAAGATCCCACGCTTCCAATGCAGGGGGCCCAGTTCAATCCCTGGTCAGGGAACTAGATCCCACATGCCGAAACTAAGATCCAGCCCAGTCACATAAATGAATAAATATTTTTGAAAAACAAATGTCACACATTTTAGACCCACCAGGACAGGACTTCGACAGGAGTTTCACCGGGGACCTTTGCTGTGTCTTTCCCAGCTAGGACGAGAGCTCTGACACGGTTGCGGTCTCCTTCCTGCATCGGCCCCGCCCGCCCCCTCCCTGCCGCGCCCACAGGCTTCTCCACACCCCGAGTCTGCACACTGCGGGGGTCCCGCGCTGAGCTGGGTGGTCAGGCACGGCCACTCTGCCGTCGCTGGGTGACGGAGGAGCGGCGCCACGTCACCACGTGACGTCACGGTAGGCCAGAGCACACGCGCAGCCGCACACAGGAGGCGCACGTGACGTCATAGCCACACACAGGCGGAGCACGTGACGTCAGAATCCGCACACACCTCGCGTGCGGCCAAATACACCGGGGCCTCCACCTGGCTATTTCTGCCCCATCACGGAGGAGGGAATGCGTGTTCTGCTTCGACTAGGACAGTGGTCAGCCTCGCTGCCTCTCTTTGTTGTAACATAAATGACGTTAATCCTGTAGGCATCGCAACTTGTCACTGCAAGCGAGGATCGAGGAGGATGGAAAAGGCCATAAAACAGCAAATCAAAAACAAAATCCTGTCTCTTTATTCCCTCTCAGATGAGTGGGGGCAACATCTCTTGGATCTTTCTTTTGAACAGACCTGAAAAGTAGAGTCCGTGATGAAAAGTAGAGTCCTGGGTGTCCCAATCACAGGATCACTATATAAAAGCCCGAGGCGGCAATGAATGGCACCGGAGACATGAGTCCCTGCCCTGCCGCGCGGAGCCGGGAAGGCAGACCGCTCGATCGGGGCGTCACATCCTTCTCTCGCATGAACAGGGTGGGCTGACCTGCAGGCAAGGGGCGCAGGCCGCCTACAAGTGTTCCTCTGAATCCCGAGACCTCAGCCGTCAGGTGGCGGAAGCATGCGGCGAGTTCTTTTCCTGTCGCAAGTCCAGGACTGAGTTTCCTCACCAAACCAGTTTGGTGTGCAGCTGTGCTGCGGCTTCGGACTTGGATCAGCTGAGAAGCTCCCCAGCCGTGACCTCGGGCAGGTGCCCAGCCTCACCTGCCTCAGACTCCGGCTGAAACCCTCCTGACTGCACCGAGGCCATGCTGCCAGCTCCGCCCAAAGTGAAGGAGGCTTCGTACGGTCTCTATACCAGACACCCTTTCCTTCCCCTCAGCTGCCCGATGATGGTGACCTAGCCCCACTGAGTTCGAGGCTGTGGGTTTTATCGTGAAACAGCCCCCTGAAATCCGCTGCCTGGGACTCACCAGAGCTGCACACATCAGCCTCCCTCCGGAGAAACTGTCTTCATCTAACAGACCACACATGCTTCTTGCGTGCTTGGTCGCTTCACTGTGCCTGACTCTGCGACCCCATGGACTGCAGCCCGCCAGGCTCCGCTGTCCGGGGGAATTCTCCAGGAGGCAGTACTGGAGGGGGCTGCTCTGCCCTCCTCCAGGGGAGCTTAGATGCCTAGGTTTTCCACCCCTTTGTCAGGGGCGTCCCCCAGCCGGTCCCACCTCCGCCTCAGGATACAGACGCTCCCCCTGAAGCATCCCTAGCCGCCTGGAGGGGCAGAGCAGACACAGGACGCCTGCCCCGGGGTCTGGGGAGGCCTCTCCCGGTTCTGGGCCCTGGGAGCCCACCCGAGTTGCCCCATCTGCTGAAGAGGGAAGTGAGTGACTCAGGGCTGTGACGTGGCTCAAACGAGACAGGATGAGCTACTCTGTAAACTGTGAACTTCTGCTACCACTTAGCACCTAGGCATTTCCAGCAGCCAGACAACTGCCCCCAGAAAGCAGCCAGCCCTTTCACTGGCCCCGGGCCACACCCCGAGCACCCCACAGACGTCTGCACCCCCTGCCGCAGAGCAGCTCTCGGTGAAGGAGCACAGCGAGCGGGGGCCCTCTGGCTCGTCCAGGCGACACCTGCCCGCCTTCCCACCAGTCCTTGGCTGCCAGGGCTTTAAATCTCCGCCACCCGCCTGCCTTCTTTGCGGCAGTGCTTGCTTCCTCGGCACCACACACCCAGCACGGAGCCCTGCCCGAGTCCCGCACAGGCTTCTCAGGACGTGGCTTCCACTTAGGCGGACATTGACGCGGTTCTGCTGGCGCCTAACGACTTGGTGCCCAGTGCAACTTCTCCCCTCCCGGGTTTTTTCTGTGCAGCGGTGACCGCCAAGCCTTTGGCCACTGCCTCTACAGGACTTCAGGCTCCGAGTTCACACCACAGGTTTGGATCAGTGCCCTCACCTGCTGAGGTCACCTGAAATCAATCCATCCCGTTTAAAACAGCAGATAAGCCCACACACATGTGGGCACCTTATCTTGGATAAAGGAGGCAAGAATATATGGTGGAGAAAGGACAGCCTCTTCAATAAGTGGTGCTGGGAAAACAGAACCGCTCCATGGAAGAGAATGAAGTTAGAACACTTCTTAACACCATACACAAAAATAAACTCAAAATGGATTAAAGACCTAAATGTAAGGCCACACACTATAAAAACTCCTACAGGAAAACACAGGCAGAACACTCTTCAACATAAATCGCAGTCAGATCCTTTTTGACCCACCTCCTAGAGTAATGAAAATAAAAACAAAAATAAACAAATGGGACCTAATTTAAGAATTTTTACACATCAAAGGAACCATAAACAAGACAAAAAGGAAACTCTCAATGGGAGAAAATATTTGCAAATGAAGTAACTAAGTTAACCCCCTAAATATACAAGCACCTCAATATTTAAAAAAACACACACAGAACCCAATCAAAAAATGGACAGAAGACCTAAATAGAAATCTCTACAAAGAGTACATACAGATGGCCAAGAAACACATGGAAAAATGCTCAGTATCACTAATTGTTAGAGAAATGCAAATCAAAACTACAATGAGGTATCACTTCACACCAGTCAGAATGGCCATCATCAAAAAATCTATAAACAAAAGCTAGAGTGTGTGTGGAAAAAAGGGAACACTCTTGCACAGTTGGTAAGAATGTAAATTGATATAGCCACTATGGAGAACAGTGTGGAGGTCCCTTAAAAAACTAAAAATAGAACCAGCAATCCCACTACTGGGCATAAATCCTGAGAAAACCACAATTCAAAAAGACGTGTGTACCTTACACGCCAGCACTATTCACAATAGTGAGGACAGGGAAGCAACCCAGAACAGATACATGATACAATGGAGTATTACTCAGCCACCAAAAGTAATAAAATTGAGTAACTGTAGTGATGCGGATGGACCCAGAGAGTCATACAAAGTGAAGTAAGTCAGAAAGAGAAAAGCAAATATATATTAAGGCATATATACGGACTCTAGAAAAATGGTAGATTAACTTATCTGCAGGACAGAAATAGAGACGCAGATGCAGAGAGTGGACACATGGACACTGCAGGAGGCCGGGGAGGCCGGGTAATTTGAGCTTGCAGCTCTGATATGCATACCCTGCCATCCAGCAAACAGCTGGCCGGCGGGAAGCTTGCGTGCAGCACAGGCAGCCCAGCGCAGAGTCTGGAGGGGGGGGAGGCTCCCGAGGGAGCGGATGTAAGGCTACCTACCAGCTGATTCATCTTGTTGTACAGCAGAAACTTAACCTTGTAAACCTCCTCAACGTATAGTAAGGAACTATACGCCAATAAAAAAAATTTAGAACAGTGAATAAGGAGTCTTTCTTCATTGCAGGCAAAACTAAACAAGAAAACTGAGCGCCCTGGCCTTTCTGTAGAGCTCACTGTCCGGTGAAGCAGGTGGAGGGGCCCGAGGCTGTTAAATGCTTGAAACGGGTGCGGTCCAGCCTAGGATGTGCTGCCCGTGCCCGTACACACCAGGCCTCAAAGACTCAGTACAAAGAAACACGGGAAAACGCCCCAATGATTTTCTGTTGATTACATGTTGAAATAATACTTGAGATATATTTAGATATATTTGGCTAAATAAACTATGCTATAAAATTAATTTCACCTGTTCCTTTTTACCTTTTTTTTTAATGTGGTATCAGATATATGATGTGGCTTACATTATATTTTCACTGCATGGCAAACTGCTCTGGAGGTCCTCATCCGAGACAGCATCACTACCCAGCACTCTCTCTTCCACTGTGGTTTATCTGTTTGGGTCTGTCCTCACTGTCTCCCGATTCACATTTCACAACCTTATTCATGCAGGTATTCTGGGGCGAGTGATGCCAAATACTTCCAATCCATATATTCCATGTACTTTCATCTCGTGGCAACCTTTCTGAACAGAGTAAAAGTGTTAATCACTTAGGCCTGTCTCTCTGCAACCCCATGGGCTGCAGCCTGCCAACCTCCTCTGTCCATGGAATTCTCCAAGCAAGAAGACTAGAGTGAGTTGCCATTCCCTCCTCCAGGAGATCTTCCTGACTCAGGAAGAGGGGCAGACTCAGGCTTACCCGTGGCTGAGCCCAGCAGGCGCCCCCAGGGACATCAGCAGGTCACCGCTTCCCTTGCTTTACCTTCCGTAGCCAAGATGCCCCTGCTGGAATAAGCGGATGACTATAACCCAAGCCCAAGCCTCTCTCACTGTGCAGGAGCGGAGGAACCCAACAGTTGGGCACCCGCATTTAGTTTGGATCCTGAGACCAGTAAACGTCTGCTGCACGTGGGCAAAGGCTTGAGCCGGCGGAGCCCTTGCTCGGCCGCGGGCACCAGGCCTTCACTCACCGCGCCGTGGCTCTGCCTCCGGCCAGGCCTGTGACCCCGGTGGGACACCCCGCTTCTAGACCCGTTCCTTCAGCACCACGCACCGCTCGGGGTGTTTGTGGGGTGAAGGTGTGTACTGAAGAGCTGCTCAGTCACGCGAGGCCGTCCCTCCACCCTGGACTCAGGCCTGTCCGCAGCCCATCGAGTGTGGCAAGAGAGCGGGGACACGTGGACAGAGGGGTTCGTCCTCTCACCTGCGCCTGGCGCTGCCCTGGCCACATTTTAAGTCTTTGGCAAATGTCTTTGAACCTCACAGTTCAAGCAATGGGGTCGTTTCTGGCACTAACAGCCTTGCTCCATCATCCTTCCATTTTCATTGTTCTCCTGTTACATTAGCTCTTTGCTTTCATTGCGTGCTCACCCAGCCGTGTCTGACTCTCTGCTGCCCCATGGACTGTGGCCCACCATGCTCTTGTCCATGGGATTTTTCAGGCAAAAACACCGGAGTGGATTGCCATTTCCAACTCCAGGCAATCTTCCCGATCCAAGGATCGAACCTGTGTCTCCTGCATTGACAGGCAGAGTCTTTACCACCTGGGAAGTCCCTCTTCACTTTTGTTAACATTTTTCTAATAGAAGTACTATTTAAAAAAAAAAATTTCGCTCTTTAACTAGTGAGGAAAGCGACAGAATGTTCTGGACCTGCCCATCACCACCCTTCTCTTGAAGCCTGCATCCCCGAACACCGTACACTCAGGAGGCCCGTCTGCATTCTGTCACCCGCCTCTGGTTTGGCTCAGCCCAGGGAGAAATCATCACACAGCAATGGGGACGAAGAGATCCAGAGCCGAAAGAGATGATTTCAAGCTGTGGAGCTGTTCGGACTTGAGAGGCTGGAGACAGAGCAGTTCCAGGCTAAGCCCAAGCAAGTAGCTGTCATCAGAGAACAGAAGTCAAGGACCAAATACACTGAAAAAAGCGGAGACGAGAGATGGCACAGTCTCTGAAAGATACAGAGAGACAGGCATGGCGGGCTGACTCCCCGTTTCCTGGAAAGCCTGACCTTCCGGCCGCTGGTTCCATGAGCCCTGGCTGTACACTGATAATCCCTGCTGGCTTTGGAGCCTGTGCCGTGCGCTTTGCACCTGTAATCAAATACACCTGCATCCAAGCCCTCCACATGTTCTCCCCAGGCACCTCTCCTCCCAGTCCTGTCCCCAACACAGAAGCAAACACCGGTGCCTTCAGAACCTGGCCCTGGGGGCTGTCGCTCTGACCACACGCTCTGCAATGCAAACAGCCACACACGAACCTCTGCCCACCCTGACCACTACTTCTCAAGAAGGAAGAGTTTATTGGATACACTTGTAGGGGGCAAAAGTCTAACAGTGACAAGGAGCTACAGGCTCACCCGTTTAGAAGATGAGCAGGGAAAACAAATACACTGATTATGTACAATCATTAAAAACAGCAGGGTGGTGGAAAAAAGGAAAAACTGCCAGCAGCCTTCCAGAAGGTTAGTAACAGGGGCCGTCTGCAGGCACCTTCCGGCCAGTCCGACCGTGCCCGCGCGTCCTGGGGCTGTCCCGCCGCCGCTGAGCAGCGATGGAGCAGGGAGACTGGGGGGCTCTGGGGGTCGCGTCGGTCCTGCTGTGCCCGCAGTCGGACCTGGAGAAGGAAGCCCCGCCGGCGACGCGCATGCACCCGCCTCTCCTCAGAAGGCCCCAAGGACAACGTCCCGGGCATCTGCCGATACAGATGTGGGAAGAGCTGAGGAAACGCACATCGTGGAGGCAGCAGCGGCCTTTCCGGGGGCCTGAGCACAAGTCCAGACCCGGGGTCCTCTTACGTGAGCCCCGCGCCCCGCACCTGCGAGACCCCGAAGTGGGCTGAGCGCGGGCACCAGGCGGCCCACCGGGGGCCCAGAACTTCCGCTGGAAGCCAGCCCTGAGCCCCGGCAGCAGAGGAAGCATGCCCACGAAGGAGACACAGCTCTGCGCTGTTTGAGAGAGAGAAAAAAGGAGCCCTCCGAGTTTACTCAAATAGAGGCCTTGGTTCATCCGGAGCGTTTCCATAAAAATGCGCTGGATGCCTGATCGAAGCTGCACAGTCTCCTGGCGATGCCATCCAACGTCCACTGAACTGGAAAGACGGAACATTTAAAGCCGCCGCTCCGAGGGCCGTCCCCGAAGCCGACGCTGATGGGCACCTCCAGGCCCTGGAGCGCCCGGCGGGCGGTGTGCGGAGCTGCGCCCGGCAGCGGGTCAGTCGCGGTGACGGCGCCAGGTCCCCGAGCCGTCGGCGCCAAGCTTGCTGCCGAAGATCTGGCCCTCCTTATCTAGAGCCGTGTTCTGGGGAGAGAGCAGGAGACGGAAGACACGTGAGTCCGCCGCCTGCGCCCAGCACCGCGAGCGATCAGGGCGCGCCGAGCATGCAGGCCGGGAGCAGGAGAGGAGAAGTAACGCCCGCGGCCCAACGGCACCCCCAGGCCGGCCCAACAGTCCCTCCATCCCTCCATCGCTCACCGCGGCCTCTGCTCCTACGGCCCCAGCCGGAGCCTCTGGGATCTGAGCCCAGAAGCGTCCTGGACAAGAAGCAAACTGCACGGGAATGCAAGGCACCTGACTGCTAACTTCTCTAAAGAAGGTTCCCCATCGGGAGATTGGAAAGGTTAAGTCATGTTATCTGTAATACCTAATCCCCACCCCGCCCCGAAACCACCGCCGCACTGGCGGCAGGCAATCTATGAAAAGCCTGGGAATGCAGCGTGTAACATCACCCATCTTTCCACCCTCCAGCGGCTCCTTCCTGGCCTTCTCTTCCTGGGGGGTGTCTTCACACCCCCAAGGGTTGTGACCTGCTCCCCCTGGTGGCTCAGAGGGTTAAAAAAAAAATCTGCCTGTAATGCAGGAGACCAGGGTTCAATCCCTGGGTAGGGAAGATCCCCAGGAGAAGGGCATTGCAGCCTACTCCAGTGTTATTGCCTGGAGAATTCCATGGATGGAGGAGCCTAGTGGGCGACAGATCATGGGATCACGAAGAGTAGGAAATGACTGAGCGACTAGCACGCTCCCTTTCCCCTGCTCCAGGGGCACAGTGTTCCCTGCCCTCTGACCCTAGCCTGGAGGTGGACTGGCCTGCCTGCCTCCTCCTCTGACCGGTGTGACTGCTGCTCAGCCAGGGAGGCCAGGCCAGGCCAGGCGCCCTCACTGCGTTTTCCAAATGCGGGGCTCTTTCAGTTCTTAGCACCTTTAGCTGAAAGGCATGTGGACCAGAAGTCCTTTCCTTGTCATCTAACCACCTTGATGGGGAAAGAGTCTTCCAGGACTCCAGGAGGGGAAAAAGTGCCTGGAGAAAGTATGAACAAATGGGGCTTCCTAGACCTTGGGCGGCTGCCTGCGGGGCCCTTGGTGCAGACTGGAAGGCAGGTGTTCTCCACAGGCCCTTCCTGAACACTCAGTGATTGCCAAGGGCACTCTCCGTTTCCTGGAGGAGAGGTAACTGGGGAAAAGCCAAATCAGAAACTCAGCCCTGCGCCTTAACAAGCTTCCAAGCACTGAGTCTGAGCAGAGGCCAGGCCACCCCCTCAGGGAAAACTCGGAAAGCGCAGAGAGGCTTCTTCCGCCGTTTTCCACCCAAAAGCGTCCCCTGGGCCGAAGACACCACCATCCCCACGGTTATTTCTCCTCTTCTCTTCCCGGCAAGAGCATGAAAGTGTGCAGCAGGAGGAAGCAGAGCAGTGCGGTTAGTACATACCATCGCCTTGGACCTAGCCAGAGGGAAGCAATGCAGGCAGCGGGAGAGGCGCGGGGAGGGAGGAGAGAAGCGGGGACAGAAACTGGACTTACTTTCAACAGAAGCAACACAGTCGAAACAGTTTTGTCTAACTTAAATTAAGCCCCAGTCCTTCCCAACGTCCCCCTGAAAGGAGCACAGTCCCCCGAGTAAGGAAGCACTCCTTTTGAATCCATCCTTTCTCCAGTCAGCTACGAGGCTACAAAATGCAGCCACAAGGGGTTTCTCATCATTAGTTCTCTTTCCCACCACGAGATGGCCTCCTCTGGGCGAGGCCCTGGGCCGCAGGTGCAGGGTCCTTCCTTAAGCCTCTCCGGACAAGTCAGAGCAAATGCAAGTGCAGTCGGAAACCACAGGCCCAACTTAAACCAAAACCCTATCCTCTAGGATTCTCCTATCCCAAAGCCTAGCTGACTGCACCCTGTCTTACCGAGGATAGGGCCTCCTTGCAAATGTACTTGGAGAAAGAACCAAAGCTTTCCCAAAGGCTCCCATCTTACGCTGTCATCCACTGAAAGATACGTATTTGCACCTCAGTGAAAGATAATCTTCAGCAGGAGAATGACTGGGGCCCTCCTCCTGTGCCCTCACCAGCTTTTGGTCTGGGAAGCAAGGTGATGTGGCAAGCTGAAGAGTTTTAAGTAAAGTTTTCACAGGTGTGTTTGGCCAAAATGGGTGTCAGTAGGTACAGGAGACCTGCACCCATGAGAAGCTGAGAGCTGGACGCTGCTGTCAGGGTCTGAGAGAAGCATGCAGATAAGAGGGCTGAGAATTAGAGGCCGCTCTGAGGAAGCACAGCACGGTGAATACCAGAATGCTGCTCCAGGGTCCCCAGAGCCTCAGCGGGGTACACAGTGAAACTCTGAAGTGTCTCTCAAACTGTCAAGTCAAACTGTCAAACAAAATGCAGACAACAGCATCAACTTTACTTGCTCACCGTTATTTACCATTCCTGTCCTACCCTTTCCTCACCAGAGCCCCAGGCTCCAATTCTGGCAGTTCTAAGAGAACAAAACCCAACCAGAGGGTCCCATCTCAGGACACTGATGCACTGTTTCCACTGCTATTTGTATCAGCAGGAAACCACCTGAACCTTACATGCCCCAGACAGGAGAACATACACATATCAGGAAGAGTTTTCCTGAATCAGGATTTTTAAGAAAACATTTGAAACTGTTCCCAAGGGCAGGACACACAGACACACGGGAATGGTGATGGTGGTGGTCGGGGGCAGGGGGGTGAGGGAAGGACTGATGACTCGGAAGCGTTGCAAGCTGCCCCAGCACAACCATGCCGGGCCAGGCCTCTGTCGGGTGAGGATGTATGACCTCCCCATGGAGGCCTGCATGGGACAGGCCAGATTCCCAGGCTGGCTTTCTGGCCGTGGAGAACTGGTCCCTCCAGAGACAAGCGCTCCTGATTCCCCCATGGGTTTTGGGCCTTGTGGGTCAGCCAGCACCTCCCCAGAGCTAAGGAGCTGCAGAGTTATGTAGGGAACGGGGTGGTGAGATGGGGCCCCGCCAACACGCCCGATAAGACACTTAATACACACGTGAACACACAATGCTCACAACCACTGCTAGACTCACAAATAATAAAGCAGTGTTCATTCACGCAAACATCCTGTTAAAAGTCAGGAATTTGACACTGAATGCTTGAACTTCATCAGCAAATGGAAAAATGCCATTTATAAACCACAAGACATAGGTTCTGAGAGGGCCTGGATGTCCTCATCCAGAACAGAGCCTGTTCTGGGATGAAAGGCAAAAGGGCCGATCGTTCCAGAACCCTGGTGGGCCACAGGCCCTGCATCTGGGCCGTGAGTCGACAGGTGGCCCAGGGGCTGATGGGGAAAGCTCTCATGAGCTCTGGGCGAATCCTATAAAGCTTCTCCGTCTGGGAGACTAGGAAGCTTAATTCACATGTGGTTATCAAAGTGTGCTAACCCTTAAGGTTTTTTATTACATGGTGAGTGTGGCAATTTTTGATGTTTCAGGTTTTTCTCGATGTCCCCAGGAGCTGCCTAACGGCGTGGCTGGCGGCAGGGCTGTGACCGACCCCAGGCGGCAGTGGCTACTGAGAAGGTTCTGCCGTGGACTCAGACAGGGCAGCTTTTCCCACAGGGTCTCAGCTGCCGCTCTGTGACAGCTCTGACCCTTGCAGGCTTTTGGCGGGACACCACTGAGATCCCGGGAAAACCACAGCTCAAGAGGCCTTCCCGCTTGTTTGGCCCAGAGCCCCCGGGGGCCTGCAGCCTGGCAGGGGAGGAGGAGAGCGGCTCCCCAGCCCGGGACAGAGCAGGGGCTTCCCTCCGGCCCCCACCTGCACCCAGTCCTCCAAGGGAAGGATCGGAGGTGCGCTGTGCTGGGAGAACACGTGGCTGGTTTCCCCCCAGTCAGCAGGAGCAGCCTTTCCAGAGAGGGCGGGTCCGTCCTGAGCCCAGAGTGATGAAGCGGGGGATGGCCCATCTGCTGTCCGGGTCCTGGGCCCCCACCTCCAGGGAAAGCCTGCCTCTCCCCGGGCAGGCAGCCCCGCTGCTCCCTGATCCCATGAGCAGGGGGGAGAGCAAGGGGGCCCACGGGGTCCAGCTTCACGGCTCACAGGAGCAAGGACTTGGGTCTGGACAGCTGGTGGGAGGGCTGCGGACTACACTTCAGACTCACTTTTATCTTTTCTGCCATCTTCTCCCGTTCCCTGACCTACTTTCATGTTACTTCACGTACTTTAATGCCATTTTCCATTTGCTGTGTTTATGGATTTAGGTAAGCTGCCTCAAAAACATTTTAGAAGGAAGATCTGACAAAATATGGGGATCAGTAACTAACTTCTCATAAAATTTTACCAACCCTGAAAAACCCAATTTTTTTTTTTCATTCTTCTGAACTTTTAAAAATCACAAAATACTGATTTTTTAAAATATGGAATTTGCTTAACTCTAGCTGTTTCTTATCCGCAGTCCCAAAGACTCATTCACAGCTCAGATAATCTATTTGTGAAGCCCTGAGGAGTCAGGGAGTCGTTGCCTTTGGCTGCAAGTCCCGCCTGGCTGGGGAGCCCTCTCTGCAGGGGAAAGCAGGGCTGGGACAGACGCCGCAGCCCAGGGCCCACTGAGCCCAGAAGAGGCAGGGACCCGGGCCCAGGGCCCTGCAGTCTGGCCTGCTGGGAACCTGCACACCCTCTGATCCCAGGGCCCGCACACTGGGAGCTGGCCACACGGTGCCCTTCACATGCCAGGCCACTCTCGCCGTGGACGGAGGAGCCCAGAAGGCACCAGGGCCGCGAGAGGGGAGCGCTGGGCCGCTGACTCTGCGAGGCTCACTGTCAGCGGTGCAGTCAGGCCGGCCCTGCAGCTGCCCAAGGGCGGACCCGTGCTCTACTCACCATGATGACGGAGACCCCGGTGGTCGTGCTGTTCTGTTTGGGGAGCGCGTTATTAAAGTGCTGTTTGAGTTTACCTGTTACTTCAGCTTGCATATTATTCTCCTGGGAGGCGTCATCCTACAGAAAAGAGGCAAAGACACCGACCCTGAGTCTCAACGTTGTCACTTCCTCAGCAGTCACACACCACCCATCGCTCCCACCGTCTCCTCCTAATGGGCCGTCTGAGCCATGAGATCCGGGAACCATGTGAGTCAAGTAACTGAAAATAATGACTGCTGTTTGGCGGTCCTCTGCCCCCCCGCAAAGACCCTCTGCCATGCACCTCCCTCCTGAGGTCTGGAGCGGGCTGAGGAGAGGGCAGAAGGGCCTTCTGCAGGGCTCAGAGACCTGCCTCCACTGCACAAATGCCACCTAGTTTAGTACAGATCCTGCCCATGGAAACATCGAAATTATCATTTTAGTCGAGAATGCAGGTAGTGTCCAGTTTTTATCACTCAGTAAAAAAATGCGGCATCTCAGCTACTTGGCCCAAGAACCAAGTCACGTAACAGGACCCAGAGAGCCTGAACGGAGTTGTCAGGATGTGGGGGACAGAAGCTGACTGGCAGAGGTGCACAGGGTGCCCCCGAAGTCAGCAGAAGCCCCTGAATTAATGCCATGGCCGCCAGGCTCCCAGGATTGAGGGGACCCAGGCTCTCCTGGCATGGACTGTGTTTGACCCAAGTCCCGAGACAGTGCCCACACTCGGGCACTCCCCGAACATCACACATCCTCCGCCCGGCTCCCACCCGCCCCACCGGGAGCAGGAGCGCTCCTGTGACCGCGGGCCAGGAAGACAGAGGTCCGGCTCCGATACAGGCTCATCTCTGGGCATGTGCTCAGGACTCTCAAACCCCAGGATGATGGGGAAAGGTCGTTGGAGAGCAGCTCACAGGTGAGGATGCTGCGGCCTGCAGAGACGGGACAAGCCGGCCCCTCACAGAGGGCCTGGAGCCTGCCGCACCCTCCAGAGGGCAGGCAGCGTGACCACGGAAAAGGACGCCCAGGGCGCCGCAGAACGTGGGCCCAGACCTCGGTCTGCACCACAGCCCAGGCGAGGGGGCCCACTGCGGCCCGCGAGACACAGAGACGTCGGTCCCCCGGGGACGTGGGTACTTACGGACACCCAGGGGTGGCTCAGGATCTGTCCTGCTGTGCACCGCGCTTCAACATTGACCTGAAGCATCTGACTGATTAACTCCTGGGAAGAAAGAAAGGAGACGACAATGGGGACAAAAGCGGGGTGGCAAACAGCAGGCACAGAAAGCATGCATTCGCACCAAGCACTTCGGAGAACAGCCGGCACGGTCACACCTCCGCCTCCCCAGGCTCCGAGGCAGGTGGCCGAGTCCACGCGGACCACGGCGTCCCCTCTTCCGGGCGCTGGGCACTGCCCTCATCCACAGCGCCGTGCCGCGGACCTGCTCCTTCCAGCAATGCCACCCAGGGCCACCCGGGGCCACCCCTGCAGGCCGCGGGCTCTAGGACACAGCTCCCAAACAAACGAAGGAGCAGACGTTGAGGGCTTAGAGAAGCGCCTGTAAGCCCTAAGAGGGCGGCCTCGGCACGCTGGGGAGACAGCCAGGCCAGCTTCCAGAACCCGGCGAAGTATTTCAGGCACCACGCCGCGGGGTGAGCCACAGTCCAGACAGACCCGGAGCACGACAACAAGAGTGGCGACAGCCCCCCGTGACAGGCCAGGGTGACACGCCGCCCCCAGAGCCAGGCCGCATGGGTACCTTGGCCGAGTCTGTGATGTTGTCCCAGTAGGGGGCTGGGAACTCCAGCTTCCCGGCCAAGATCTGGTCAAAGAGATCCTCCTGGAGGTTGTTCTCACTGAGGCAGCGACAGAGAAACACAGGAGTCAGCGTCACCATCCGGCATTGTAATAAAGGGCTCACGGGGAGGGGACACGGGAGTCCAGGAGTCAGCGTCACCATCCGGCATTGCAATAAAGGGCTCACGGGGAGGGGACACGGGAGTCCAGCATCTCTGGTGTGGGCGTTCCACAGCTTGGCTGTGCAGCTCAACCAGGTTTGGGATCACACTCTCCCTTCTAGATGATGAACCAAGCAACATTTCCATGGGCCTGGGAATCAGAGAGAAGGGGGAGGAGGGGAGGTGGTGGAGAAAGGAGGAGGAGCAGGGCAGAGAGGGGAGCAGAGATGCAAGAACTCTGTTCAGCGGGTACCGGGTTTCAGCGTGGGAGGGCAAAGGTGTTCTGGAGATGGGTGGTGGTGATGGTTACACAACGGTTTAAATCTACTTAATACCACTTAACATTTGAAATTGTACACTTACAAATGGTTAAAGGGATAGATTTTATGTCACATGTATTTTTCCACACACACAAAAAAAAAGACTCAAGAAAAAAATGGAATCCACAAAAATGTAAGTCCTCGTTCCAAAAAAAAAAGAAGCTCAGCATCTGCCCTCAGTCATTCATGGTATAATAATAAGTGGGGAAAGCAGCAAACCTGAGTCAGATCTCCTTGTCCTTCCCCCTTCTACTTTCCCAACAAAACAGCCAAAGATAGCGAAGCAGCCAACACATGGAAAGTTACAAGGAGTTCAGAATCTGGATAAACATTCACAGTACAACACGCTCCCCACCGAAACCTTTCACTGAAGCTCAGTTTGAGAGAAAAAGCCCATCATCTAAGGACATCCACTAGAACTGCACGGGTGCAGGACCCCGAGGTGGGCGTCCCTCCCCGCCTGCCTCTCTCAGAGCTGCGCACAGATGGTGTCTAAAGAGTAAAAGATGACTTGACGTGTGATGGACAGTGCCAGAAAAATGTGGATATACTGCTGGGAAAAATTCAGGAAACTGGACGTCCCCTACCTCCCAGAACACTGCATCTCCACAGCCACGTGGCCCCTCCCCTTGGCGGCCACATCAATGGCCAGAGTGAGAAGCAAGTCACTGGCTCTCTAGGCCACTGCAAAGCCTAGAAGAAAACTCAGGAAGGGCTGCTGGAGTCAAGATCAAAATCCAGGAGCGGAAGTTCAGTCTCACTTGGCAAATACGTGTTAAGTAAGTGTTAGTCGCTCAGTCGTGTCCAACTCTTTACGACCCCATTGACTGTAGCCTGCCAGGCTCCTCCATCCATGGAATTTTCCAGGCAAGAGTACTGGAATGGGTTGCCAGTTCCTTCTCCAGGAGGTCTTCCAGACCCAGGGATCAAACCCAGGTCTCCCACATTGCAGGAAGAAGCTTTACCATCTGAGCTACCAGGGAAGCCCAATACTAGAGTGGGTAGCCTTTCCGTTCTCCAGTGGAACTTCCCAACCCAGGAATTGAACCCAGGTCTCCCGCACTGCAGGCGGATTCTTTACCAGCTGAGCTGCAAGGGAAGCCCAAGAATACTGGAGTGGGTAGCCTATCCCTTCTCCAGCAGATCTTCCTGACCCAGGAATCAAACCAGGGTCTCCTGTATTGCAGGCAGATTCTTCACCAACTGAGCTACCAGGCAAGCCCTGATTACTTGGCAAGGATGCAATGTTTCTCCCAGAGTTCCCCCCAGACTGCCTCCAGCCCCACGCACTGCTCAGGGTGCTCACGTGGGGCCCCGCCCGTCCTCCTGCACGGGAGCCTGGTCACACTACCAGTCCTCCAGGGTCTGCAATGGTGAGTGTGGCATCGCTAGAAACAGATGATTCAGGGCTGTGTCCAGAGACAGCCTCCGGGGCTGTGTGATGAGGCGGCTGCCTCATTCCTGTTCTAGGAGGAAGAACAGAGTTTGTGAGCTCTGTGAACGTTCATTGTATCAAACCAAGCTCAGCGGAATCGACACTGCTGCTTCATGATGTCATGCAGCTCTCCAAGCAACACAGGTCAGGCCAGGCCAGGCCAGCAGGCAAGGCGAGTGATGCCCCCAACTCCTGCTCCCCGAGAAACTGATGTTCTTCGAGTGAGCACAGACTGTTTCTTTCTAGGTGTCCAAATGCTCTTTCCTTTTCACTGTTACCTCTCTACTGATTTAATTTAGCTCATGCCTCCTTAAAAATGAATAAAGAATGTGCCTAAAAACACAATGGGATTTTATAGAAGCATTCAGAACATCGGAGGACCCCAGGAGACAATGTTAGAAGAAGATATAGCAAGTCACCCGTTTACAGAATCGCTCTTTTTAGCCATTCCTCTCTATGATGGCATGCATCTCCCTTTTGGTCTTCTTCTGGAATCTCAAATAGTTTCTGTTAACACAAACGGTCTTTATTTTGTTAATAAACAGCTAAAACATTGGGTGTGTGTCTGCAGGATTTAGGTTCTTGGCAAAATAGCCTGAGTTAACCACACAACCCCAGGATTTGGGCAACTAGAGTGGCACCCTGAGGACCCATGCTGGGAACTACGAGAGCCCTGGGGCTCTGGGCGGCCCTCGCCAAAGCAGACCTGCAGAGAATGCACCCTTCTCAGTCGTCACAGAATAAAAGTCCCTCTGATTAAACCTTCCCTGGATGGATTAACACATTTATACGCTACAGTCTGGCTGAAGAAACTTCATACTATGTTCCATAGCGGCTACACTAATTTACATTCCCATCAACAGTGTACCGGAGAAGGCAATGGCACCCCACTCCAGTCCTCTCGCCTGGAAAATCCCATGGACGAAGGAGCCTGGTGGGCTGTAGTCCATGGGGTCGGTCGCAAAGACTTGGACACGACTGAGCGACTTCACTTTCACTTTCCTGCACTGAAGAAGGAAATGGCAACCCACTCCAGAGTTCTTGCCCGGAGAATCCCAGGGACAGCGGAGCCTGGTGGGCTGCCGCCTATGCGGTCACACAGAGTCGGACACGACTGAAGTGACTTAGCAGCAGCAGCTGGCTGAGATGCTTCAAGCACTTTTTAATTCTCAAACAGTATAGTGCTGTAAGTCCGGAAGTGCTCAGTAAGAAAAACTCTGAAAACAGCAAAAGACTCTGTGTACACACTCTTTCCATTGCCAAGGTGTTAAAGGTCAGACGAGGTAACCTGAGAAATGTTGTAAGCTGTTTCACAAATGATGTGCAAAACATTTCACTTAAAGGGGGTATGGGTGTGTGTTTAAGAGAAACATCAAATATCTCAGGACAGTCAGGCAAATATTATTTGTTATCAGTGGCCATAAGAACAGACTTCCTTAGGCAATACCTAAACCCTGGGAAAGCAACATTCTTCTCTTTAACAATGAAATATTACATGTCAGCCTCGGACTAACGCCCGAAAATCCTGCAAGAATGGGAGATGCTAGAGTTAAAGAAGCTCAAACTGTCAATTCCAAGGAACAACTTTAATTAAAAAGCTTTGGGTTCAATTAATCGTTTTTAGAAAACAATGAAAATATTTTGAGATATCTGTTGAAAGACTTTTATTTTAGAAGCAAATTTATGCAGATTTGCTTAATCTTAAACCATAGTCATTTGTCATTATTTAAAGGACCATTTCCATAGTTTGATATATATGGTATATAAAATATGTAAATATTTTATATTATAGTAGGTTATAAAATCTATCCAGAATGTCTCTGTACGCTATGAAGATGCTTCCACCACGAACATGCAACAAAATAAATTCTCTTTCATCACAACATGATATGAGAGGGAAAACATTTTCTTTTTTTTTGTTGTTGAGAAGGATAACATTTTCAAAGGTAAGCTATCTAGAGTTACAGGACCAGCATCTGAGCATAACCTCTAAGGCAGCAGCTTTCAGAATGCACTTTTACTGCTTTTGATTAGCCAGACTGATCTGAACATCCCACAGAGAGGACAAGGTAACAAGTCACAATAGATACATATTGTTAATTCCAGTCTCTCTTTTGTTAAACAGTAAAAAGGAAGTCAAAGGAAACAAACTTCTAGGCTGCACTGGCGAGTGGAAACACTAGAGGGAGTTGTGAGCACATATTCCTCTACAACTGCTCCTCCGTACCTTTTTCCAGCTGCTCTCAACTTGGGTTAGCCATGGAGGGAAACTGCTGAAAATGGCCCTTGGATTTGTTGCTGGTGGTTGCCTGCTCAGTTGGGTCTGACTCTTTGCGATGCTATGGACTACAGCCCAGCAGGCTCCTCTGTCCGTGGGATTCTCCAGGCAAGAACACTGGAGTGGGTTGCCATTTCCTTCCCCAGTGGCCATTCCTGATCCAGGGATAGAACCCACATCTCCTGCATTGGCAGGCAAATTCTTTACTGAGTCACCAGGGAAGGCCCTGGCCCTTGGGTTACTGTCTATCAAACCCCACTGTCCTCTGCACTTGACTGGTTCCCAAAGTAAGTCATCACTGAGACCGGCCGGGCACCGTGTGACTGTGACAATGGCCACAGATCACTCCCTCCTTCTATGGACACAAACTTCTCCCACATTCCCCCCAGGCTTGGCTATTCGATTTCATTTGATCAATGGGACATTAATCAAGAAACGTGGAGCAAGCGGAGATCTGGAAGGTACTGGGGCAGGGAACTTGCTCTCTCTGGCTGCTTTGAGGAAGCTGTCACCACCATCACGTGAAGCCCATGCAAGTTCTCTGATGCTGGGGGGCACGTGGCTAAGCCAAGTCTGTGGTCCCAGTGGACACTGAGCTGACTACCAGGCATGTGAGGGAGCTACCCTGGACCTCAGGCCCCCACTAAGCCAGCCCAGGGTAGGAGAATGGCTCGGAATGATTCATACCCCTACTTTTAGAACAAATCTATTCTTCAGTAAAAACTAACAGATACGTCATATCCTACAGTCTGAATAACCCACCTTGGCAATGACCTCGATGGAAAACCATGATGCTGATGGATGGCCACACGGAAAGAGCCTTCCACCTATAGAAACCCAAGCCACGCCAGGAGGACGAGGTCCCACTCCAATGTCGTATCTCTCCTTAAACCTTTCGTGATTTCCAGTCCTCAGCCGAGCCTCCCCTCAACTTGGCATGAACTCATGCTCACTTTTTCTGCTTGATCAATATTCTCATGCTGTGTTTTCAAACCAATAAGCCTCTCAAAAGTAGAGACTGACATCTGTGTTATTCTTATATTTAATGTAAGCAAAAATAAAAACAAAACCAAACAAAACCAACCATTCAACTCAACTAAAAATTGATCGTTAGGGACTTCCCTGGTGGTCCAGTGGCCAAGACTCCATGCCCCCCAGTTCAGGGGGCCCAGGTTTAATCTCTGGTCAGGGAACTAGATTCCACATTCCACAACTAAGACCCAGTGTTAAAAAATATATTTTAAAAATAGGTCATTTTAAAAAAAGATAAACATCATACCTTTGTACTTTTCTGTATGTTTGAAAGCTTTTATAATAAAAAGCTTTTATAATAAAGCTTCATATAATAAAAAGCTTTTATAATAAAGCCTCTATAATAAAAAGCTTTTATAATAAAGCTTCTATAATAAAAGCTTTTATAATAAAATGTGGGGGGAGAGAGGGAAGAAATAAATCTATTTTTTACTTACTGACTGAATACACACTATAAACACTATGGCCTTACAGAATAAGGTTTGTTTCCCACTCGATTCCCAGAACTTAGAACGATGCCTGGCCCATTGTAGCTACTCTACAAATAGTTGTAAAATGACCATAAGGAAAGATTAAAAGGAAAACAGCATTCAAGAAAAGTCAGAGGAAAATAATCAAACGTGCATCATTAGATTAACATCTGCTTCAAAGTGTTCATGTGCTTCAGAGGGAGAAGGCACTGGTCAAGAGACACACGGTGAAGCCCCAGCTGCCCCCTGTCCATACACCTCTGGGGGTGCCCCCCACACACCCTGACCCCGTGTGCGGTCCCCTGTCCTCCCAGCAGGTGAGTGCACGGTCATCCAGGGTCAATCTGCTTTCCCGGGCCTGTTAATGCCAAAAGTATTTGTAACACTAGTAACACTCCTTAACGAAATAGTATGTGGATGGACAAAATCAACTGAAAAAGAACAACAACCAGGTCAAACACTCTGCAAAGTAAGTGAGTTGTTAAAATACAGCTGTCAGATTAGGTAGAAGAGACAACCCTTAAGAACTAGAAAAAGTCTTACCTGGGAGGGTCAGATTGCTTGGCGAGGATCTTTAACTCTCACTCCTTTTGAAAAAGACTGGGAATGGAAATCATAGACACTGGACCGCGGGGTGAGTTTTACGGAATGACCGTGGGAAACCCAGGGGACCAGGCACAGAGCAAGGCCTGGGCCGCACCTCAGAAGTGTGGACGCAGAATACACATTAATAGGTGGTAAGTTAAGATTAAAAGGTGAATGGTATGTTCATACAATTTGTCACTGGCATTTTTATTGACCTGTTTCCGGTCCTGACTGCCAGGAGTAGAGTGCCTGCTTCCCAATCAAAGGGAGAGGGTTTACAGTTCAAATGCGGTCACGTGCAGAGCCACTGACCTCCGGAAGGGCGGGAAGCCGCAGAGCAGAATGTACGTGATCACGCCGGCCGCCCAGACGTCCACCTTCAGGCCGTAGCTGGGGAAACAGAGCGGTGGGAGGACAGACAGAACGCTACTCCAACGAACCCGCCGCGGGGCTGGACTACTTGCCTTGGCTTGTTGGGGAAAGGGCCTTGCAGTACCAAACCACTCATTTCATGCAGATGAATGAACCACCCTTCGGACAAAGGCGTCTGCCCTTCTCCGAACCTCGCCACTATCTGGATTCCAAGACTGGCCTTGGGACAGACGTCCAGGCCCCAGGGCTCTTGGAAGTGCAAGAACAAACTGGAGTTCCTGGCACCAAAGTCACGGTGCAGGGATCAGTCTCTCCCGCCCCCCACGCTCCTGGGAGGCACGTGAATCCACAGCAGCAGTCGTGGCAAATATACCTGTTCCCAGAGTTCAAGCACCAACCCAACCACCCAGGAGGCATACCCGGTTTCAGCAATGATTTCGGGGGCCACGTAAGTCGGGGTGCCGCAGACGGTGTACAGTGGGCCTTCCACCACAGTGGCCAGCCCGAAGTCTCCCAGTTTCAGAGACTTGGTCCCATCAGGATATTCACACACCTGGAACAGAAAGCAGCAAATGCTCAGAAGTGTTTTTCCCTCAGTGATCGCAAGGTGGGGAGCCTCTGGAATTGGGCAGAAATGACACAGATACATTTACCAACAAATCATAAGAAACCTCTCCTTCTGATATTAAGGCCATGGTTTAGCTTTGCTGCTTTTTAGTTTTGTGTCTTGAGTTTTTGGCCATGTGGCATCTTAGTCCCCCAACCAGGGATTGAACCTGCAGCCCCTGCATTAGAAGCTCAGAGTCTCAACCACTGGACCATCAGGGAAGTCCCTCTCTTGCTTTTTAAAGCTCTAATATTTCTTTTGAGAGATGTTGCGTGTGATTTAGATTGTGTGAAATGTGAAAAAAATATTTCCTACCTTTGCGAAAAGCCACTTACCTAGGAGTAGAATGAACACGCATGCATGCTGAGGGGTGGAGGTGGGCGGCTTACCCGGTCCGGTGAGAGGCCCCCGACCTCAGGGCAGGGCGCTGACCTCTGCTGTGTGCTCACTGTGTGTGTGCCGGAGTGGGGAGGTGGGTACTGGAGAGCCTCAGAAATGGTGTGCATTACAGCTTGTCCACTAAAGCACTAGCTCTCCAACTCATGTTTAGTTTAGAAGATACAATTAGGACTTGCTCTCTAGACAACGAGGAGATAAACAGTGATACAACCTAGGGGAGAACTTTGGAAATCTAGAAAGAAAATGACCTTTGGGATGAGGCTGTCGCTGTCTCCTCCAAGCCTGCAGGACGAAACACTCCACCCATTTGTCTGGTGACCTGACCCCTGAAAGCCCCTCATCCACCCTGGCCATGTTCTGTCACCTGTGAAATGGGATAACAGCTGGTCCCTAGCTCATGAGATGAAACTCAGATCAGGACGGGGTGAATGCTCCTTCTTTCCTGGAAGGACTGGCTGATTCGATCAGGTGGATCATCATCTTGGAAAAGGCTTAACAATGCTGGTGAGGATGTGATGTGTTTGCTGACATCGAAGCAACTTTTCTAGAAAGTATGGCAGTCCTATGTAAATTTCTTAATATCCTTAATAACCTGTGATCTGTAAATTTACTTCTAAGGACCTGCTGTAAGGGAACAGAGATGGATCCAAAGGTTATACCCAAGAATGCCAACCTCAGAATTCATCTTCTGGTTTTTAAAAACTAGAAGCAACATAAGTGGCCAACAGGTTAATGACTTAATAAATCACAGCAAATCCCTTCAGTGATATTATAGAGTCACTAATAACCACAATTCAAGTCAACATTAATCCTATGGGAAATATTCAATGTATTAAAGAAAAAGGAATATTCAAAATTTTATATATATATATATATCAAATAAATATATAATTTTCTTCTTTATACTTTTCAGAAGTTTCCAGAATGTTTACAATGAACACATGCTGTTTCCATAATTCAGAAAAATTAATTTTATATATAAGCAGACTTTCCTTATGGGATAAAAGTCTGGAAGTTATTTTAAATGGATGGTTTTCGAAGCAAACAAGTATATATAAGAACATAATCTGAGACCTGACTGTATGAGTTTTAATAAGCTATTTGCCTCTTAGATGTCCATTCTGAAAACACTGAATTTTGAAATAACTGTAAAACCTAACATGTACTTATGTCCTATCTTTCCTCTACTTTTACATTTTAAACATATTTGTTTGTGTTTCCCTGTATCCCACTATGAACTGAACCAGATTTTCATCTAAATCACTACTTAACAAAGGAAGAGAAAAATTTAGCAAATGACATTTTTTCAAGATAAGCACATTAACGATGTCATCCATCAGTCTGATACTTAATGACGGGGAGTGATTTATAAAATCCTCAATAAAAAAAGCATCAAGAACCTCAGGCCTTCCCAATGCCAATGACCCCCATCTTAACAGGCATTTTTTAAGGATGACACTGAAACACCTTTCTCACTTGTGATGCTTCTCAGCAGCTGAAGAGGAACAGTGTTTACCTCGGTATTTTAATAACTGCTTCCACACTGATGTACTAGAGACCATGCTCAGCAAGCATCTTTATGACTTTCCAGTTTCACAGGACTGACGGTGAGGATTTGGGGGCCCTCACAGATATTTATCACTCTGTGTCAGCCCACAGCTCAGCAGAGCATATTCAAAGCTACTAAGGATTCAGCCTAAAGCAGCAGAAACCAGGTTCTTAGTCATGCTTAGCCTTAGGACGACTTTCCATCCATTATGTTTAATGTAAACATTAACGAGAACAATCTGAATTATAGTTAGAATTTATGATGCATTTATTGCAACCCAGACTTTAGAAATTCCCTAAGCAATTGCAGTGATAAGAACATTATAATTCTAAATGTATCGTAAGAGTAAAAAAGTTTTGTTAATGTCATTTTGTTTTTACAACTTCACAGTATACTCATTAGGTACTTCTTTTTTTGTTTTAATCGTGTTTATCTTAGACGTTCAATTTAGGGAAGCCTAGGGGTATTTAAGAGCTGTTGTTGGATACTCAGAGGTCCCAGAAGTCCCATTTTTCACATCCCCTACAAGGAATTCAGAATCAGATGCAGAAGCATAAATAGAAAGAGACTGAAGAGTCTATAATCACCGAATAATATTTGAGCAAGTGGTACTCTGGCTAAACATCAAAAGCGACGTATCAAATAGGGCAGACAAGCCTGAACTAATATTTTATCCGATTTGTCTCACCTCAGTGCTAGACACAGAGGCAAATATGTGAAAAAGAATGTACGTAAATTTCAGGTCTTAGCTGGAGATTGTCTTTAAAGCAGGAAAATATACACACACCTCTATAAATCTGCACGTATGCACACACACAGTTACGACACTCCTTTAAGAAACTAACACTGGCGCGCGCACACACGGCTTTGCTTTAGGAGACCAATCTTAGGGAAGAGGTGATAGCCCAGGCCTCATTCTGGCAGAGTTCAGTTCTCCTCAGCAATGCCCATCCTCGCAGGCCTGGAAAGGCCAGCCCCACAGTCTCCCAAACACCGCCTCATCACACTTCTGTAGTCACCCTGCTGGGCAGCTAGGAAGAGAGGCATTATTCCATTTTATAGATGAGGAAACCGAGGCCCAGAAAAATCAAGCTTCAAAAAATCAAGCTTCGAGCGGGTGGCCAGGTGGGACCCCAGCAAGTCCACTCCCATCCCCTGCACGCCCCTGCGTCTGGAAGGCCACAGGGGTACAGGCTCCGGGTGGGGCATAACCCAGCACCCCCGGGAACGCCACTCGGCCGGGCTCAGATGCTCCGCCACCAGCGGAGACGCCCTGTCGCAAGCCGCTCTCAGAATGCAAAACTGAAAAACGGAAGGCGTGCACACCCCACACACAAACTGCAGGCCTCAGGTTCTCTAAATAAAAAGTCAGCGTCGTGATTTAGAAGGCCCTCAAATACGAGAAGCCAGCCCTCTCCTCGGCCTGCCCCAGAAGCCCTGGAAAGGCGGGATTTATCACTGGTCTCTCTCAGTTAACTCTGACCGGGCGCACGGGCTGTAACTCACGGCCCTAACGGCCACACGACTGCTCCCTGACACGGCGACCCATACATCTCGGCTGGCAGGGTCTGAATCACGACCGGCTGCCAGACGGGCGATGCAAATGAGCCGTCTGAACGCTCCGGCGCTCACAGGCGGGATCCTGAGAGGCGAGGGGCTGGCAGTCCCTCCGTGGACGGGCTCCGAGCGCCGCGCTGGCACTTTCCCAGCCCGGGCTGACACCAGCCTGCTGGCTGTCTCTAGGTCTGCCGGGGTCCCCTTGGGTCGGCAGTGGCACGCACATCTTACTGAGACACGCGGTGAAGTGTCCACGGCCCGACCCCACGGGCCTCGCACGTCACACGGGAGCCCCGTGCAGACCCCGTGCAGGCTCACCCGCCCCTCCTCCTCCTCACCCCCCCTCCTCCTCCTCCTCCTCACCCTCCTCCTCCTCCCCTTCGGGCGGCAGAGCGGGGCTGGGGCGAGGGCAGCGGGGGCAGACGAGGCCCCGACTCCGCTCTCCCGGCCGCCGCCGAGACTCGGCAGGCTGGAGCCGGCAGTCCCCGTCAGGGTCTCTTCCCGATGGGAAACGAGAGCAAAGGATGAGGGAGGGGGTCCTGAGCCTGCGCGCACAGTAAGGAAGCGTGAGTGGGAAGAGGGAGACGCGGGGTGGTGGGGAGGGATGGAATCAGTGGGCTGGACAGGACACCCTCGGGTCTATGGAAGGGCTCGCCGGCCCGCGGAGCCCCCCACGGGAGCAGCCGAGGGGGCAGGCGCTGCGGTCGCTGCGTCTCGAGCCCTGCAGCGCCCAGGGAGACGCGGGGTGGTGGGGAGGGATGGAATCAGTGGGCTGGACAGGACACCCTCGGGTCTATGGAAGGGCTCGCCGGCCCGCGGAGCCCCCCACGGGAGCAGCCGAGGGGGCAGGTGCTGCGGTCGCTGCGTCTCGAGCCCTGCAGCGCCCGAGCCCTTAGAGGCCCTCAGTATCTGCGGCCCCAGCGGTGAGACGGGTGTGGAGGGCAGGGTGTCCTCGGGAACACTCGGGGAGCCCCGTCACCTCTGCTCGGGAACCTCACGTTCAAATTCGGCCAGCGGTGCGGGGTTGGGGGCACGCTGACACGCCCCGCAGCCTCCTGGTGCAGGAGCAGGACATCAGGTCCCCACGTGCCCGAGGCCTGCTTCGCCACTGTCCCCACCCTCCTCAGAGGTCAGAACGCCACGCCCCAGGACACATCGTGCTTTACACACCAGGGGTATTTACTTTCCTAACAGAAGAACACAGTTCCTCAAGGCAGAAGACGGTAGGAAAACACGTCACACGCTTTTAAGTGGATGCTAAAAAATGATCAAACGGCACTATCCAAAGGGGAAACGCAACTGTGGATCAGGAGGGCCCGAGAATGGCGCCAAAGCCTGCCCATCAAATCACACTCTGCTCAATAATCATTGGTGTGCTGCAGGCGGAACGCACGGTGTGAAGACCTGCGTGTGAGTGTGAGCTTCAGGTGAGCCGAGTGACCATCAGCGGTCAGTCACCAGCCATTGATTTCTCACCCACTGTGCGCTCATTCACCACCCAGGACATATAGGTGACTGAACACACACCTGCTCTATGGGTGCTTACTACCTAGAGAATGGGGACGACTAGCGATCTCTTCAAGAAAATTAGAGATGCCAAGGGAACATTTCATGCAAAGATGGGCACAATAAAGGGCAGAAATGGTATGGACCTAACAGAAGCAGAAGATATTAGGAAGAGGTGGCAAGAATACACAGAAGAACTGTACAAAAAAAGATCTTCACGACCCAGATAACCACGATGGTGTGATCATTCACCTAGAACCAGACATCCTGGAATGTGAAGTCAAATGGGCCTTAGGAAGCATCACTATGAACAAAGCTAGTGGAGGTGATGGAATTCCAGTTGAGCTATTTCAAACCCTAAAAGATGATGCTGGGAAAGTGCTGCACTCGATATGTTAGCAAATTTGGAAAACTCAGCAGTGGCCACAGGACTAGAAAACGTCAGTTTTCATTCTAATCCCAAAGAAAGGCAATGTCAAAGAATGTTCAAACTACTGCACAGTTGCACTCATCTCACACGCTAGTAAAGTAATACTCAAAATTCTCTAAGCCAGGCTTCAACAGTATGTGAACCGTGAACTNAGATGGTGACTGCAGCCATGAAATTAAAAGACGCTTGCTCCTTGGAAGAAAAGCTATGACACACCTAGACAGTATATTAAACAGAGACATTACTTTGCTGACAAAGGTCCATCTAGTCAAACCTGTGGTTTTTCCAGTAGTCATATATGGGTGTGAGAGTTGGACCAGAAAGAAAGCTGAGCGCCCAAGAATTGATGCTTTTGAACTGTGGTGTTGGGGAAGACTCTTGAGAGTCCCTTGGACCTCAAGAAGATGAAACCAGTCAATCCTGAAGGATATCAGTCCTGAATATTCACTGGAAGAACTGATGCTAAAGCTGAAACTCCCAATACTTTGGCCACCTTATGCAAATAACTGACTCATTGGAAAAAAAAACAGTGCTGGAAAAGATTGAAAGCAAGAGGAGAAGGGGACGACAGAGGATGAGATGGTTGGATGGCATCACCAACTCAATGGATATGAGTTTGAGTAAACTCTGGGAGTTGGTGATGGACAGGGAGGCCTGGCATGCTACAGTCCATGGGGTTGCAAAGAATCAGTCACGACTGAGCAACTGAACTGACCTAGAGAGAATGACAGATAAATAAATGATAAAATCACAGAACCATGGTAAGTGCAGCAGAAACCAGAGGTGGCCAGGACTGACTGCCTCTGCTCAGGGAGGCTGGGGTGATGTCAAGAAGACATGCCTTGTTCGGTATCTTATGAGATGAACCTGTTTGCTGGGGGACAGGATGCTGCAAACGAGACCAGTATGGTGGTGGTTTAGTCGCTAAGTTGTGTCCAACTCTTGCCACTCCAAGGAATATGGCCCACCAGACTCTTCTGTCCATGGAATGTTCCAGGCAAGTATACTGGAGTGGGCTGCCATTTCCTTCTCCAGGGATTGAACCCAGGTCTCCTGCATGGGCAGGTGGATTCTTTACCAACTGAGCATTGTGTCACTTTATGATGACCAGTTTGGACATCCACAATGAGGTTCACCACTGCTGATAAAAGTCTGGTCTTCACCAACTCTGGGGCCTGGGGAAACCTGTGTGTGGATGAACATGATACAGGAGATGCAGATAACCTCACCTGCCAGAAAGTAAGGATGATGATGGTGATGCTCAGCCCTGAAAGGTGGGAACAGAGAAGCCAAGTATCTCGTGTGTTCTGGTGGATCTGTGTACGGAGAACTCAGAAATTGCCTTCTCTTACATTTCCCTACAGCGTAGACATGAGGACTGTCCCCAGTCAGCAAGCTGCATCTAGTGATTAAGGCCACCATGCAGTGACTTACATCTGGCTTTAAGGTGAGTGCCATGCTGGTCAGATGGGTAGGGAAGGGGGGACCAGGACAAGAGGCTGGAAGGCAGAACTGGGGCCAGACTGTGAAGCTGAGCTCCGTAAGAAAGTAAGACTCGTCGGCAGAGCAACAGGACAAAGGAGACTTCCAAACAAGAAAAGTCAGCATCCCAGGGGCTCAATATCCATACCCGTAAAGCTGAGATGAACGGACTATGTTATATTTTCAGAGTTCTGTCCTGCACATAAATGAACCCTTCCACTTCTGTCTCCTATGAGCCTCTAATTCTGTCACCAATTTATTCACCAGAATTTTTTGCCTCGAAAAGTAATTTCCTGTTTGTCTTTCTCCAGTTAGTACCATCCATTAAAACATAAATGAAAATGGGTTTTCTGGGCTTCCCTTGTGGCTCCCAGGTAGAGAATCTGCCTGCCAATGCAGGAGTCACAGGTTCAATCCCTGGTCTCGGAAGATCCCATGTGCGGTGGAGCAGCTAAGCCACTGAGGCACCACGACTGAGCCCGTGTTCTGTAGCTGAGGCTGCCGGCCCTGGAGTCCACGCTCCACAGCAAGGGAAGCCGCTGCAGTGAGAGGCCCCGCACCACAACCAGAGAAAGGCCCACAGCAGCAAAGACCCAGCGCAGCCAAAAGTAAATAAACAAATAAAGAACTTTTCAAAAAAAGAAGAAAAAAAATGTGCTTTCTAATGTCTGGTAAACAGTAAATGCGGAAGTGCAGATCAGTTCAAGGAATCCATTAAGACTTTATGGTCACTGACTTGATTTTCTAGATTTCACTTCTCTTGGCCCCTGACCTGCAGGGTTGGTATAGATTTTAAAATGTCACAGTCTGCACATGACTGTCTGCAAGTGATTTCCGTCACTTTAAAGGGAGAGAGGCCCGAGTTGGAACGGAAAAGGCAGAGACGACGTACCAGGAGGTTCTCGGGCTTGATGTCCCGGTGCACGATGTTGAGGGCGTGCAGGTACCGGAGGGCGTTGGCCAGGTTGTACACCATGGCGCTCCCGTCCCTCTCCGTATACTTGGTTGAGGAAGTAATTGCATCGAAGAGATCTCCACCCTGGAGAACATGAAAAAGAGCACATCAAAACCTCAACAGTGGCAGAAACAGACTCACAGGCTCAGAGAACGAATTCACGGTGACCAAGGGGGAAGGGTGGGAGGAAGGGATGCTCAGGGAGAATGTACATGTACACACTGCCATGTTTAAAATGCAGAAGCAACAGGGACCTACTGGACGGCCAGGGACCTCTGCTCAATGCTATGCGCAGCCTGGATGGGAGGGGGTTTGGAGCGAATGGATACACGTATACAGACGCCAAGCCCCTTTGCTGTCCACCTTCAACTATCACAACGTTGTTAACTGCGTATACTCCAATACAAAATAAAAAAAAGTTTAATTAAAAAAATCAACAGTGGCAGGGCTATGAAGGGGGCAAACAAAGCTCATCAGCCTGAAGGAGATCAGAAAAAGAATGTCACAAGTGCTGCTCAAATGAATAAAGATCCATTTCATGAATAAGGAAAGTTTCACGGCGGCAACGTGCATTTCCAGTGAGGGTCTCTCAGGACACTGCTCAGTCTCGGGATCCAGCACTGACAGACTCTCCTGGGACCTCTCCACCTCTCACCTTGACCAGTTCCATCACCAGGAAGAGCTCGGTGGCCGTCTCCATCTCCTCAATCAGCATGATGATGTTCGGATGCTTCACTCTGCGCAGGATCGACACTTCGTTCTCAATCAGATGTTCCTGGGGAAAGGGTTTAGAGGGGTGGATCAGACGCAGAACAGGCTCTGTTCCTGGGTGCCAGAGGACAACACGGGCTGTGGGTCTGAGCCTGCAGGAGCGGAGACAAACCGCACCCTGCGGACAAGCCAAGCCAGCGAGGCAGCTCACTGAAGCTAACGGAAGGACTTCGAACAGCCCGCGACGGGCGCGGGGTGCTATCTGGACCGCAAGCCTCGCTCCCTCCTGCCTCGTCTTCGTTCCCAACACTAACAGCTCATGATGCTGCGAAAGCTTGGGCTTGCCACACTGTGCTTTGTAATGCAGCTGGAATCACTTTTCCCTCGCAGTACACACTCAGAAATGAGGACAGCATGTAAGGAAGTTTGGCATACTTATGGGATACAACTTCCAGCCTTATAAACATTTTTAGCTTTTAAACTATTTACCAACATGAATTTGAATTATGTGCTGAAATTTGTGAAAAAGAAGCTTTCCTCCTCTGTATTTGGGTATAAAACCACTCACCAGATAGATGTTCCTTATCTTGTATTTCAGAAGTCAGGAAACACATAGTAGGTGACCACCAGACTCATTTCAACTCTAATCACTTCTCTGAAAACACCACCTGATTGTCAGTCCTGGTGAGCAATGTGGTTGGGAACAGCACCATAGCAAAATGTTTCCTCACAGCATTAAGGAATTATTCTTAGTATGCCAGCCCATGAATCATGAACAACGACTGCTCTATTTTATTATGAAACATTAAAGATCTCTCAATAATGTCACATTTGTTGATCCTCGTTAACTGTAATAATGAATTATTTAGGGAATGTTCTGTAAGACTGTTAATTGCCCTATTATACACTTTAGGTTTTCAAATAGTTTTCTTTATGTAAGTTTACCTTATAAGAGCTATCATTTGCTACCTAAACACATACGTGCATATGTATCCATAATGCATGTCTGTGTCTCCTCTGCTCTCATGGATCTCAGAGCTAAACTGAATGTCCCACTGCAGTAGTAAGATGATTATCTTATCTCTAGTTCAGTGTACCGTTTATGGTTCCGCTCTTATCTCCATGCCTCCGTGCATACGTGTATTTTTACTCAATCTCAAATATTTCTGGACAATAGACGGAAGCATAAATTATAACAAGCAAGTAAATAACATCCAGACAAAAGTCTGCTGCAGCCTCCTGCACATGGCGACTGGTGTTTTTTGAGTGCTGAATGCACCGTGTTTGTCCAAAGTGCCAGAGGACAACACGGGCTGTGGGTCTGAGCCTGCAGGAGCGGAGACAAACCGCACCCTGCGGACAAGCCAAGCCAGCGAGGCAGCTCACTGAAGCTAATGGAAGGACTTCGAACAGCCCGCGACGGGCGCGGGGTGCTATCTGGACCGCAAGCCTCGCTCCCTCCTGCCTCGTCTTCGTTCCCAACACTAACAGCTCATGATGCTGCGAAAGCTTGGGCTTGCCACACTGTGCTTTGTAATGCAGCTGGAATCACTTTTCCCTCGCAGTACACACTCAGAAATGAGGACAGCATGTAAGGAAGTTTGGCATACTTATGGGATACAACTTCCAGCCTTATAAACATTTTTAGCTTTTAAACTATTTACCAACATGAATTTGAATTATGTGCTGAAATTTGTGAAAAAGAAGCTTTCCTCCTCTGTATTTGGGTATAAAACCACTCACCAGATAGATGTTCCTTATCTTGTATTTCAGAAGTCAGGAAACACATAGTAGGTGACCACCAGACTCATTTCAACTCTAATCACTTCTCTGAAAACACCACCTGATTGTCAGTCCTGGTGAGCAATGTGGTTGGGAACAGCACCATAGCAAAATGTTTCCTCACAGCATTAAGGAATTATTCTTAGTATGCCAGCCCATGAATCATGAACAACGACTGCTCTATTTTATTATGAAACATTAAAGATCTCTCAATAATGTCACATTTGTTGATCCTCGTTAACTGTAATAATGAATTATTTAGGGAATGTTCTGTAAGACTGTTAATTGCCCTATTATACACTTTAGGTTTTCAAATAGTTTTCTTTATGTAAGTTTACCTTATAAGAGCTATCATTTGCTACCTAAACACATACGTGCATATGTATCCATAATGCATGTCTGTGTCTCCTCTGCTCTCATGGATCTCAGAGCTAAACTGAATGTCCCACTGCAGTAGTAAGATGATTATCTTATCTCTAGTTCAGTGTACCGTTTATGGTTCCGCTCTTATCTCCATGCCTCCGTGCATACGTGTATTTTTACTCAATCTCAAATATTTCTGGACAATAGACGGAAGCATAAATTATAACAAGCAAGTAAATAACATCCAGACAAAAGTCTGCTGCAGCCTCCTGCACATGGCGACTGGTGTTTTTTGAGTGCTGAATGCACCGTGTTTGTCCAAATGTTGGCAAATGACAGCGCAAACGTCAAACAGAGGCAGGGGAGAGAAAGGGGCTTCCCTGGGGGCTTAGTGGTAAAGAATCCGCCTGCAATGCAGGAGCCTCAGGAAATCAGGAAGAGCCTCTCGAGGAGGGCATGGCAACCCACTCCAGTACTCCTGCCTAGGAAATCTGGTGGACAGAGGAGCCTGGTGGGTCACAGTCCCTAGGGTCCAAAAAAGTCGGACATGACTGAGTGACTTAGCAGGCACCCAGGAGAAAGAAAAGAACCACCACTCCCTAGAAAACGAGTCCCTTTCTGTCACTGTGCAGGGTGCTTGAGTAACGTCTCCACAGTTATCCTTACAGCAGTTCTTTGAGGGGCGGGGGATGCACACCTAGATTCCTGACCTCCAAGCCCACATCTTTTGGAACCTTTCAAAATGAAAATGACAGCTGTCAGGCTGAAACTGACTCCGTGAAAGATTGGAACTAGAGGCAGCATCGGCCTGAGGTAGGCTCAAGGCAGGACCACACCGGGCTTCGTGCACAGCGGAGCACCTATGCCTACTCATGAGGAGGGCTGGGAAGACGTAGCTGGTTCCGGACTCGGCACCCGGGGAGGAGCGGCAGGTCTCAGACCCTAACCGAGCAGGGCGGAGAGACCGCCAGGCTGCCGACCCGGCCCCAGCCGCACGGCGTCACCAGGCGGGCACAGAGCCCTGGGCGCTCCCGGGGCGGGCGGCTGGGCAGCCAAGCCTTTGTGGCCACGGGGACAAAGACTCAGAAAACCAGCCGTGTTCATACACGTCCTTAGAAGCCTTTGGCTCATCTGTGCCAATCGGGTCCTTAATCACAGTGACCGCAGAGGCAGCCGTACCTCTGTGCACAGGTAAAGGCAGCCGAACGAGCTCATTTCACTGCGTGTGACGCCAAGTTGACATGGGAGTAAAGCAGGCGTTTGATTCCGAAGCTAAACGGATCTATCACGTCAGTTCTCCTCCCTCCTCTCCATCGCCCGAGGTTGGGGAGAGTCTATAAATGTAGGGGCTCTGCATGTGATGCTAATTTCCAGGGACATATATAAAATAATTTGCATCAGCAGTACCCCAAGAATGCGCTGACTAGGGCTAAAATAAAGAGTCCAGAACGCAGGGAGCCTGCACCTCTCCAAAGTCATCTTCTTCATGCAAAGGCACAGCAGAGCCTCTTCTGGGACGCACTGTGTAACTTGGCCCTGGGCCTCCGGCCGTGTTACATTTCAAATATTAAGTGGATATTCCAACAACATTTTTTCCACCACTATTTATTATCTTGGCTTGTTCTATGCTACTCGACAATGCCTAGTATTCTGTGCACATACTGAAGGGTTTTGTTGGGATGTGGGGCCTATTTGTTTCCCAACCTCTGACTATGCCTGTAAAAATGTGTTTGAAGGAACAATCCACTTTTCAAAGTAAACCATCCTCAGAAGCAAAATGAACGGTGCACAAAATCTTTACAAATGTTATCTTCCTACTTCTTATACAGCCCATATGTAATCATTATTTCTAATACATCCTCTCTAGGTTACATTTTCCAGAAAAATATTTCTAAATACAAGATGAACATCACTTTTGTCTCGAACTGTACTGAACTTACATTATTCAACCACCCACCATTATTTATGTTAAGTGATTCATGATTCTAACTCCAAATAATTTACATATGAATCATTTCCTGGCAGTATGCCATGGTTTTGTGTGTGAGAATAAATGACAAAGAAAACTGCCAACTTGGCAAAGGATACAGCCTTATCCTTGGCCAGGGTAGTTTTTAACATCTAAAAGAGAGACAGATAGACAGAGCCAGAGACAAATGGATCTGGGGAACAAAAAACGCTCCCAAGCCAAACAATTCGTCTAGCGTCCAGTCTTTCCCGCCTGTGTCCTTTGTCTCACTGAATGGACCTGGGTGCCCGGAGCAGAAGGGCATTCTACCCTGACCCTCCCTCCCGCATCCTCCTGCCCAGCTCATCAGTCACCCATCCCCGCCTTCTCAGTAGCCTCAAAATAAGCCCATTCCCTCTTTATCCCTTTTGCCAATTTTTTTCTAGGCCTCCAGGCATCTGCAAAGGCAGTTTTGTCTGGAACTTTCTTCCCCCACTTCTTGGTGAACTCCTATTCATTCCTCAGAACGATGGGGGATCTCGCCTCCTCCAGGTAGCCTCCGCTGCTTAACCACAGCTGGGTTAGGAAACCCTCGAATTTGTCCTCAGAGCCCCCTGCGCTCACTCCAGCCGCAGTTCTCACCCTGCTCTCTTGGAGGTCTTTGTTTACCTTGCTCTCCAGGAACCAGCATGGTTCATTCTTGAGTAAACACACCACACACTGCTCACTGTCACAAGTTTTACAGCCGGTATCTATACTGTGGGGTGAGGACCACTGAGGATGACACAGTGAGACAGACGAGACGTTCAATAGTTATATGTGATGACTGTGATTGGTTGAATAATGGCCACACAAAGTTATCAGGTCTTAACGCCTAGAACTTGTAAATACTACTGTACTTGAGGAAAAGAACGTCTCTGGAGATGTGATTAAAGTCACTGTAACAAAGCAAAAACTGTAGATTTTCTGGG